TTACACATCCGATGTGGGTACCTTGTCTGACCAAACTGGGCCATTTCTAGCTAAAAAATGATCTAGACACAATGTCTGACTTGATTGAACTGCACAACACACCACAAAGGGTAGAAATCGTTTTCACCAAATCTACCGGTACATACTTCGAAGTAGGTTATAGCAACAATTGCGAGGGATTACCTTCCATGGCATTCATTCCGGATCCACCCTTGTCAGGTCACGTGCACTGGCCTGTGTCTGAAACATTCCCTGCGGCATGCATGACAATACCATTACTACGGGGGAGTTGGGCACGTCAGACCCGGCGGCTGTGAAGTTCAACAGCACACTGACTCGCGCTTAGCAAGCCCACGCCTATCGTGGGAATAACTGTAACGATGCACATTGCACTAAGTGAGTCCGATGATTGGGAATAACTTCGCGGCCCATTGCGCATTGCCAAATAGTATGGATAGCATGAGCGATGCAAGTGAGCACGCTGGGATCAGCAGTGCACTGTACACCACTCCACACCACCATGCACAGGTGGCGGTGTGGGGGTGTTGGTGGTACAAATTACGCCATTGCGCAATGGGCTCATGCACACACCCAATCTTCAACTCACTGGGATACTGCGAGACGGGATCACACGACTTGCACTTGGTCGACGCCTCTGCATCACTGTACATCATATTTACACACTTTGTACACCTACAGGAAAACAAGAACAAAGTCCCCGGCAACAGAAGAGGGCTTAAGAGGGATTCACAGTCCGCAATGACCCAAAAATAACGAGGCATCTCAAATCTGTCATTGCCTACTTACAAAGGAGAAGAACAGAATGATGTTCTTGTACAATTCGACACTGCAGATAGCTCCAACACAGTTCAACCCGATAGATAGCTCAAACACAGTTCAAACCGATAGATAGCTCCAACCCAGTTCAACCCGATAGATAGCTCAAACACAATTCAAACCGATAGATAGCTCAAACACAGTTCAAACCGATAGCTCCAACCCAGTTCAACCTGATAGATAGCTCGAAGCCAGTTCAACCCAATACATAGCTCAAACACAGTTCAAACCGATACCCACTGCTTACCAGGGTGAGCGTGCTTTGTCTGAGAACGTTCCGGCAGGGCACGCCGTACAAGCTGTTGCGTACGCCAAGCCTGCGACATGCACATAATAAAAACAACAACGACAAAATCACACCAGCATTATCAACAACAAGGACGACAGCGGTGGCGACAACGACATGCAAAGCCCAATTGAAGATACCAACCAGTGTAGCTAGTACCGTAAATGGCATGAAACGCCCACCCAAGCTAAACACACACACACACACCCACACCCACACACACACACACACACACCTCAGACCTGCCCATCGCGGAAGCGATGATAGCGAACAGCTATGTTAGACATAGCTGGGATTACACCATTCAACAGCTTGCAAGGCTGATGAATTGACCGCCACAATTTTTAGCCTGGTATCCACCACACAGCTGATTGAAGTGACTTTTCTGGCCAGTGAATCCCTAGTTTTCATTTTTCCATTTTTTCTTCTTCTTTTTCTTTCTTTCTTTTTTCTACACACACACACACACACACACACACACACACACCACACCACACCACACACACACACACACACACGTGCATGCACACATACACACACGTACACACACTTACATACACATGGTTCACTGTTCGCACGGCCAATGTAAACTTGGCAAAGGTAGGATGCAGACTCATTTATCCTATGGAATGTACTTCGAAGTAGTACCCAATGCAAGTTGACCAATCTCACAACATCCAGTGCAATGCTCTAGGATTGTGTCCGGCTTTTAGCTTACCAGTGACTTCAACACGTCGGATTCGCAAAGGCAGCCCTGCCTCTGTATCCTTATAGTTGGTAATTGCTATCAATGCGAGGACGTTATGACCTGCCTTGAGCTCAATCTGAACAAGAGCAAGGATAACAATGACAATAGCGCTGTCATCACACTACCGAAATGGTGAAACAGATGACACGAGTGCTAATATGTCACCGTGTTAGGAAATGCTTGCAGCTCATAGATATCATAGTATCTACAAAGTACAATACAGTCAACGTACAATTTTGGTCGGAAAAATGCTTTCATCAGAAGGGAAATTCCAACCTTTTATTTCAGGATCCTATTTTCACTTTTCGTGAAAAGTTCATTTCACAACAGAGTCCTGTTCAAACTTCAGTTGCGAACAAATATCTGCTAGCGCCCCATACCTAACAAATATTGACAAAAATTGTATTCCTCCACAGCAGGGCCTGAAACGGGTTGTCACACCACACTCGAGTCCACTCCAAACCCATAATTCAGCGACAGTGCCACTAAAAGGCGCGCATGCAGATGTGTCTGATCCATTGAATTGGAAACGTACCACCAAACCTGCTACAATGCAGGTCAATGCAGCAGCTCACTGTCTGTCTGTCATAGCTGAGCTGCAGGCACGCCACACTAGATGACACGGTATCATGCTCAATCTGCCCACACTAGTATAATAATATTGCCCTTAACCCATGGTACCTATCCATGCTATCCGAGTAGACACGGCATCCGCACCAGTATACATCAAGTGGAGTGCTAGGTCTTTGCTTCCAAGCGGTTTAAAAATGGACGCCGCTGCAGTACATGTAGGTGGCAGTGTTCCTTACCGTCTGCCATTCAAATGACTCCAATGGCATTGAGGTGTGGTTCAGTGCCTTGTAGAAGTGCACAGGACCAGATGTTCCGGAACATGTGTAGGACTTGACCTACAAAAACCGGTGCACGGAAACAAGCATTAGTAGGGCTCAGACAGATTGTACAAACATCCAGCAGCTGTGCTGTTTAAAAAACACCCTTCCGGCTGTCACATACAAGTAGCGAATTCATCTCATTCACGATGGCCAATAAGCAAAACCTGAGACTGGTGCCGTGACAGTACATAAGTGTCTGGATCCAGACATAAGGATAGTGGCGGAACTCCAGTTGTTCTGCTTACTAATTCACTGTGTGTCTAATGAGGTCAGTAAGTTATCAATGGCAATAAACTAGGGCTGTTTGATAACTCTAACGATCGAGCAATCGTTTAGATTACCGATTAGGATTATTTGCGTTTTTTAAATTTTTAATTTCTTATACGCGCAGTGCATGCAGCGCAGAGTAGTACACAGCACTGCACACTGCACGCGCGACTCACCTTGTGCTGTGTAGTACAACGAAGCTGGAGCATGAAGCAAGGTCGCGTCCGGTCTACATACATACATGTAACACTTTTTTGCGCAGAATTTTGTACATATTTCCACTTTTGGCCATTCCACGAACATATTCCAGGTGCGGCCTCTTAAAGATTATAATCGAATAATCGATCGTTATGATAAAGAGTAATCGATTGGGCTAAATGGATGATCGTTTCAGCCCTACAATAAACAGAACCAGCTGAAGCGTCATGTTACGCAGCTGAAGCGTCATGTTACGCAGCTGAAGCGTCATGTTACGAAGGTTTTATTGAGATACCACGAACAAATTCTAGAGAAAGTGGTGATGGACAAAGAAATAACTATGATGGAAATGTAATGTGAACAATAATAAGAACGATGAAAAACCTTCGCAACATGACGCTGCAGCTGATTCTGTTTATTGTCACCTCGCCGCCTGTTCAAGTAAGTTATCAGTTAATCGATTCAATTCGGCAGGAAGCATGAGCCCCACATGCGAGCAAGCACCTTGATATCGAACAATACAGGTACCAACTGCTGCTCTCTGGTGGCAAGTGGTGTATCAATGTCTGTGTTACTGCAGTATTCTTAAAGGGGAAGTATACCCTAAAATCAAATTTTCACCAGTTGTAGTCTTCGGGGTGCTGAGTCGAATGGTCTTGGTCCGAGGAAGCTGGGACGCTCCCTTCCTCCTTTATTCCCAATCGAACTCGCGCACTTCCACCGAAACTGGGTGACTGCGCCCTACTAGATGGGGATTTGTATGCAAAATGTCACTAAAAGCGCCATTTCGTTCTTATAAAAGCACGGATGACCGCCATTGGCCCATATGTTGTAGTCTTTTGGACGCTGAGTCGACTGGTTTTGGTCCGAAAAGGCTGCGATGCAGCGCTCCTCCTTTATTCCCAATCGAACATGGTTGAACAAGTGATCACGTGCTCCTGCGTACACCAGTCACCTGGTCACCGTGCCTGCAGGGTACAACTTACTAGCCTGTTTGACCTGTTTTGGGTGCAGTCCTGTCACTCGAGTTGAACTCGAGTTGAACCTTGGTGTGAAAGTTGTCGCCTGCTGGCGCGGTGACCAGGTGATTTGGGCACCCAGGAGCACGTGACCGCTTGTTCAACCATGTTCGATTGGGAATAAAGGAGGAACGCTGCATCGCAGCCATTTCGGACCAAAACCAGTCGACTCAGCGTCCAAAAGACTACAACATATGGGCCAATCGCGGTCATCCGTGCTTTTATAAGAACGAAACGGCGCTTTTAGTGACATTTTGCATACAAATCCCCATCTAGTAGGGCGCAGTCACCCAGTTTCGGTGGAAGTGCGCGAGTTCGATTGGGATTCAAGTAGGAAGGGAGCGTCGCAGCTTCCTCAGACCAAGACCATTCGACTCAGCACCCAGAAGACTACAACTGGTGAAAATTTGATTTTAGGGTATACTTCTCCTTTAACGAACACACACTAAGGCCTTACTTCCAGCATGAGGTAGAATGGCGCTGTGGTTGGGTAAGAATATTGAATACGAATCTCTCCATCCTTGACAAGCTGTGCAAAACACAAGAAACAAAAGCCTTGCTCCTACTGGAGGCAACGGAAGACCAGCAGTGCTTGAATATCAACAGGAAAAAGAGAAACGTAGTAAGGTCAACAGCGTAGCTACAAACGATATCTCCAAGGATTCTCCCGATGAGCTCACAGGGTGAGTGTAAATAGACCCTTGATCATACCAGCACAGGCAACACTGACTTAATTAATAGCTTCCAGCTGGGAGAAGTAAAAATACCGGTATTTTACTACTCCCTGGTGTTCAGCCTGCTTTCCTACTTGTCATTCAGCTTACATCAATTTCCACCGAGACACTGGATGAGCACTCCGCATTGGTCATGACCAAGTCACCAAAATGAGCACTCCAGCCTTGCCTGCAGGCAAGACAGGACACAAGCGAATGGATGAGAAGATACACGTGCGTGCGCGCGCACACACACACACACACGCACACATATACACACACACTAGTACACACACATACGCACACACACGCACACACACTCACGACACACTCACGACACACTCACACACACACACACACACACACACACACACACACACACACACACACACATACACACACACACACACACACACACACACACACACATGTACGCACACATGCACACACACACGCATGCACACACACACATACATACACACATACATACACACACACACACACACACACTAGTACACACACACACACACACACACTCACACTCACACATACACTCACCCTGAGCAATCTGGCTCAAACTCATCATCATTATCTCCATCTTCGGTAGGGCCAGGGTCCTCGCTGCCAAAAGTTCGGGCCACCCGACCACCGCTATTTCGCAGCATTGTACCAGCAGAATGAGATACACCTCTTCCCTCTCTACCATTATCATTCAGCGAACCGGTAAATATATGCTCGAGCTCCTTCACAGAGCTTAGGAAGTTTTGCTTCTCATCTGATAGGACTCCCTTGATATTGTTGATCTCTTCCCATGCATTCCTTGGCTCAACTCTGAAGCCACCAGGGAGGCGATTGGCGTGAAAGTCTTCCCACCTAACACCATCACCGAGGCTGAACGTGCCTGCGGCACAGTCCTGGCAAGTCTGCGTCATCTCGTCCATGTACTGGCCCGTCTGACATGTGTAATCTGCGACAGGTAGTACACACAGCAGCAAATACTGTACATGTAGTACACACAACAGCAAATACAGTAGTAGTCCAGGATCAACATGAACAGACGACACACACACACACACACACACACACATGTACAAGCAAATGTGTATGAAGCATGATACACACAGCCACAAATAGTCCAGTCGCGGTCAACAGGCTCATGCATGCCAAATACACTACGCACACACACACATACACTGCACCTATGGCCATGCACACACGCATGGGTGCATGCGTGCATGGGTGCATGCGTGCATGGGTGCATGAGTGCGTGGGTGCACGAGTGCATGGATGCAAAGGTCCATGGATGCAAAGGTGCATGGATTCAAAGGTGCATGGATTCAAAGGTGCATGGATGCATGAGTGCATGAGTACATGGGTGCATGGGTGCGTGAGTGCATGGGTGCTTGGATGCATGAGCACATGGATGCATGAGTGCACGGACGCGTGCACGTGACACTGCCACCTATCCAGGTAAGACAGCGGGCCAGTTTCCGCGGCATTAACTTACTGCACGGTGATCCAGGCCTCGGGGGTGGTACGTACCCACCATAGCACACTGCACCAAGCTTGGGAACTGCCACATACCAGCGACGTTGGTGCTCATCACACTTGGTCTGGATATGGTCATAGTCGCTCTGAAAATGGCATAAAACAAACGACAGCCATCAGACAATCATTCAAATATCAAAAAAAAATTAATTTTGGATCAATGAGGAGCCCTGCAGCTACAACGCCAGGACATTTTCAAGCAATACGTGTCAGCCATGTTGGCCGGAATTTGGGGGGGGGGGGGGGGCTAGTGTACCCAATCAGGTACCGCGGCTAGAAAAAAAGGACTGTAGGAATAATAGGCTGTCCGGGCCGCCCTACACTCTACAGCCACAGAGCATGACACTGTGTGGCCAGTGTGCTGTATTATATGGATGCAAGTGCTACACAGCACTGAGTAGGCAACTACCACTGCTCACATACATTGATAGGGCTCAATACCTGGGGGCAAAGCTTTCTATCATCAAAATAAAAATGCGGTTAAAGTTCAAACTTTGCCTGAGGATGGCTTCGCGTGAAACTCTAGGTGCAGATAAAACCTTGTTCTTACTTCAGTGTTCAATTGAAGTGTTCTACTTCCCGATCGGGATATAAAGGTCATGCTTTGTCACCCAACTAAACGACAGGTTCTCCGGTGCCTAAACTACCTGCCGCTCACGTGGATGACAACACACAAGACGCTATTGTCCGTGCTATGGGCGGGAGGTGTCTGTCTCCTAATACGGAGGATTAGTAGAGTGTAAATGCAGCTGATAGCAGTACCCCATCGTTGCCTATAACAGAGTCAACTCTCATGATGATCTTGCGCCGTGACAGACACCCATGCAGCAGAAGTCAGAAGATGCACACTCCGGGGTTCATGTACGCTCGACGCAATGTGCGTTTTCGTCGTCGGTGGACCCCATAGAAATGCCTAATCCAGAGTTGCACACTCTCGGCAGCTTATGTACTTTTGGTATTATTCACATTCATTCCCCTGCTGCAGTACATAACATGTACATTTATCAAAAAGTGGGGTGGTAGACGTTTTAGGACACTACGCCTGAATTTTGCATCATTCATACCTGGTGTTCGAAGACCTTATATTATATTACTAGAAGTTTTCAGAGAGCAAGCCTCGCTTGACTAGAACTTCTTCATAAGCTACAGTGTACTCATCTGATTAGCGTCAAGTCAAAATCGCTGACCTTCATTCAGGTCCACTTTGGAAGTTAGAATTCAGTGCATACGTTCAGTGCATACGTTCAGTGCATACGTTGATTCTACTGCCAGTATAGTACTGGTCCTAGCGATTTTTACAATGAACATGTTAGGGGCCGTCCGTAAATATCGAACTTTTTTCACCAAACAAATTATTTTAGTTTAGACGCAACTCCTCCCTCCCTCCCCCTCAGAACGTAAAAAATTGTTGACATACACATGCATATACAACAAAAGTCGCAAGTGTGTCACTGCTCCTATGGCCATGTACATGTATCGAACTTTTCTGAAACGAAATTGGTCAACCCCCTCCCACCCCATAACGAAATTATTTCGTTTCGTGAAAAAAGTTCGATAATTATGGACGACCCCTTATTAGATAAAACCTTGTTTTGTTGAAATTGTACATGTTGTATTGAAGGTTTCGAAACATGTCGATCTACAGTCTAGTCTGCGCACTCATAGTCATAATACCCGGGTCTGCAACCTACTCAACGTAGCCTAGGGCATGTGACACGTTCGGAATGGAATGACAGTTTTCTTTGTACAGAATGGTGCACGTAATTACGTGGACCTATTATTACAAGTCTTACCACCGTGCATGGCCGTTCCTCGTCAACCGGCGTGTCGACGACATTTGCAGTCGTTTCAGCCGGGGCTTCCGAAGTGCCAGACTCTTCATCTCCGCAAGATACTCTACCGACGCTCAGCAGGCAGCCAACGGCGCACACAATGACACACGACTGGTGCCACCGCGCCATTTCGCCAAACACACTCGCTAACTAGAGGAGTGTCGGCTTCCAGAGCACAGGTAGGTCGGCAGTCGCCGTTAGCGAACTAGTAGTAGTACCCTATTGGAGATGTACACCGCTATGTGCCGACATCAACGTCGGCTAAGCGCAACACAAACAGAATCCAAAAACCAAGATTGGGAATTTATGATTTTTTGTCTTCAAGTATGTGAGCACTTGACGCGGATACACTGCACTGGTCCGTGGTCGATACATCGTATGACCGTGCGTCCCCACTACTGGCACTAGTGCACTGGCACCGCACATATGTAGCCGTTGACTGACCGACTGTTGTCTTTTCGTGTGGCCGTCTGCATGCGGTGACATAGCCTTACAGTCATGTCACTGTCAGTGCAGTGTCATGAGCATTGAGCATGAGGTGATGAGTGCATGCATGCAGTCACAAACACTTTGAACTCTCAACATAAACCGTGAACACGGAGTAGTACCGACACATCCGGAGCGCCAGCTGATGTGGTCGGACGAGCGCAGCAATGACTGGGAAAAAGAAGTCCAGACTAACCAGCAACCTGTCAGTTTCAGGCCAAACTGTCAATATCCATTGGATGTCATCATGGTCATCACCGTTCCTCATGTTGTTCGCGCGCTGCATAACGTTATCATGGTTATTAATTTTGTCCGTAAATATTTAAAACATTCTGCATGTACCAGTACCAGTGTCTGCTCTACAATGATTATGTAGTGGGCTCAGCCTATGTCCCTATGATCAAGGAGTTGTAAATATTTTAGGGCTCTCTGATGTACAGTATTGTATCCCCCCCCCCCCCCCCGGTGTTCTTTTTCCAAACGGATCCAAGTACCCCCCCCCCCCCAACCGGGTCGCTGACCCGGGCTCTGGAGCAGACACGGTATCTGCTGTACCAATGCCATGCAACATCCAACAGTGTGACGTCAACAGGTACCAGTACCGGTGCATGCAATAATATTAATGGCCAAGAGTGCATGGTTATGCACGGTTTGCATTACTAGTAGTAGTACAGTACCAATAGTGCATAATTTATAACTTTATTAATATAAGCAAAGCGAGGGTCCCTGGTTCGAGTCCTGGTGGTAACAGTAAAACATTTTCTTCAGACGTTTCCCATTTCAACTCCCTCAAAACAGGCTCAATCTTATGAGCATAAGCTCGTACATGTACCGAAAAATTGACTCGGTAGGTAGATTACACATCGTGACTCCCAGCGTGGTGTCATCTACCAAAATAAATTCAGTCATCATAATTATTACCAAGAGTCCATAACCCATGGACTCTTGTTATTACGGTAACACTGCAGTCATCATGTACACTCAGGGGAGTCTGGGACTACTAGTATACACATACCGGTACATGTACCGGTACTGTACAGCAATTATAATAAATTATTAGTGATGTGCAATGCATCTAGTTTAAAAAAATTCTAATTTCGGCAGAATCAATCCGGTTGGTCCCGTCCGGCCAGGCTCTTCATTTGCTGCCATGTTAGTGGGCGAATCACCTGTTTGGAAGTGCAAAGTGAAAATAAAGTACAGTGATAGCAACGATGACGCAGAAATGTTGTTGTTTAACGTCCATTTTGTCCAGGGAGCCCTACACATACCAGCAAGAGTACATAACCCCCCACTGTGGGGGGTTATGTACTCTTGATACCAGGTATGCGTAGGGCTCCCTGATTTTGTCCAACTTTTCAATACATTTTATCAAGAGTACATAAAAAAATGGTTTATGTACTCTTGATTTTATCAAGAGTCCATAAACAAGAGTGTGCAACGCCACATAGATGTCTGTCACGACTCGTTTTCAACATTACGTCATTTTCATGTAGCTGCGCGTGCAGGCCGCGACATTCGCGAGTCGTGACAAGACCCTATCGCGCGTTGCACACTCTTGTTTATGGACTCTTGATTTTATAGTCCATGGATGAAATTTTCGACCGGGCGAACTCTCTCCCTTTCTCTGGAGTTGGACGAAATTATTCACCGACTAGATTTCCGCCTGTTCAATAACAATAGAGTTGCCTGATGATGGCGACTACGTGAAACTCTGAGTTGCACCACAGCTTCCCCTTTCTCCTGTGCGCCTGTACAACTAAAACTAAAAAGCAGGGAAAAATTACATCCGTGGAATCGTGATTGTCCATCGAGGCGGAGAGAGACTTCCTCAACACCCCTTCCTCCGGCCTCGATGACTTCGCATCGCATGTACGAACGCAACGGGTACAGTAACGCTTGTTGCATGCATGCATGCATGCACGCACGCACACCCACATTCCAGCAACACCAACACAGTCCTATTGTAAACATCATATTCACCGCATGTGTAGTCTGTAGGCATGTAAATTGTTAGCATTAAAATAAACATTAGTTCTCAAATAAAGTTCTCAAATATGCAAGACCTCAATACGGTACTGGCCAAATGACTTCTTTGCCGAGTGCACCGAAGCTTTGCGCTTGACGCCATCCAAAGCACCGGCCAAGCGCAGCAGTTGGAAGGACACCTTGAGCTGCTGCCGTAAAGATGTGTTTACCAGCATCAGCACTTTCTTGGCTTCAGCGTCGAGAAGCAGTTTTGTTGCTTGCGCATCCATGACGACACTCATCCACACCATGATCCGACACACGTCAACGGCGGGAATAACCGCCTTGCAATCGTCAGATAGGGCATAACCATCGGCGATTCGGGCATGCAGCAACTCGATCAGCTTCAGTGCGATGGCGATTGGCATTTGCCGGAGCTCATTACGCAGCTGAGCCGGATTGTACGTACACGTCAGCACTGAGTCGAGGAAGCCTTGCACCTGTCGGTAGAGCAGCTTAGAAGACTTTGTCTTAATCAAACATTGGACGTAGGAGGTCAAAACCGATACAAGAGTTACCTCTGACAGATCAGGAACGAACTTGACGCATGCAGACATCAGCTGGTAGTCCCGCTGTGCCAAAAGGCGCTCCACCAGTGTTCGCACAATGAGTCCACTGACTTGACCGGAACGCACATGCTGCTCCACAGTGTCGCGCTGCCAGGGTTGCTTGTCGTCCAGGAAGTCCTGCAGTGTGGGGTGACGTGCAGTGGCCGTCTCCGGAGGTGGAGTGTCTTGGTGTGCCTGGTCAGACCACTCGCCCAGACTTGCAACATGGCTTGTCGGCACAGCTGGCGGTGCAGCAGCAGAGCGGCATGCAACAATAGCTGAGACAGAGCTCTTGGGTGGACGGCACGGGACAACGACTACACGTTGGTCTAGTAGAACTACCAGAGATCCAGGAACTGCGACAGCATTGAACTTTTGCACGTTTGATGCGTTCTTCAGCTGCCTAACTGTCAAGCGCGTGGAAAATGCAATATTCCATATACTGGCTGCTGGCTGCATTTCGCCACTGTCAGAAGCTTGCAGTCCAACAATGGCAACGTGGCCACTGTCCACGGCAACCAAACTGCATGTCTTCGCACTACAATTACACTGGAAAGAGCTGACCAAAGAGTCGTTATCTAGCGATAGCTCTGAATCTGTTGATTCCATGCAGAAGTGGGCCACCCGTCCATTGCTGAGTAGAACAGCCAGCTGGGTATTGCGATCCCGCAGAAGACAACCATCCATGAAGGTGGCATCGTCTGGCAAGATAAAAGATCGGCTAGACATCATGTGTGGCGACTCTCCACGATTGATTGCAAATAGCGAAACTTTTAAGTCATTGGTCGCACTGTCTTGGTGAACTACGACGGCACGTTTGCGATTGTAACGAGTTAACCATACACCGCTCCAACGGTAGGGGACACTGGACGATTTTGACGGGGTGCGCTTGCTTTTCTTTCTCGGGCGCGGTGTTTCCTCTTTCTTGGTCGTCATCCATTCCGCTGCACCACTCTCAGTGACTAGCAGAGCATCATCAATGTCCTCAAATGTGTGAATTGCCATGACCTCATCATGAACGTCGTGTCGCATCCAGTCAGAATGGCAACTCGCAGTTTCATCCCACTGATACACAATGCCACCTTCGTGCGCGACATAATAATTTCCTGTGGCTGTGTTCTGCTCTCCGGAGGAAGACACGCGACTATTTCTATCCAATGACCAGCTTTCAACACATTTACTCTCGGGAATGGCATACACATCCACGCGCTTCGGACATGTGATTATTACTCGATCTTCTTTCTTGTGTGCCGTAGGAGCAAGTGGCTTCCCAGCTGAAGCCGGTAATTTAGCAAGATCCCAAGGCTCATCCATCGTCGACGAACAATCACCGCTCTACCTCCAACTCAACTTTGCAAAGCATGCTTGTGCAGATTTTTGTTCGTTGTGCACCGATCAGCTGGCGGATTGCGTCTTGAGAATCTCACTTTTTTCTCCGCCATTTTGAAAAATGGCGTGGTTTCTTGGATACGTATACCACGTATACGCGCAAAAATGCTAACCTTTCGCTTTGAAAAATCAGAAGCTGACCTGTGACGTGACGTCGTGCGCCGCGCCTGCATGCATATGCCTCGCAGCTAGCGCTATCTCGGTCATAATAAAATTATTATTATCATCAATAATACAATCATGAAATTTCATGTCAGATTGATTTTGCACAAAGATATTTCCTCAGCTGATAACAAGAACAAGTGTGAAAGTATTGTTGTTCTTGGAATGAGGACCTGAAACTCCAGGAGAAATTATTTCTATCTATTGAATACCGGTAGCCGTTCTACTTCTGCAAGTACTGCAAGCGGCAAGTTCATTGTAGCTTTCTTTATACTAGTAGCTTCTGAAATTTAAAGTGAAAATGTCAACCAGCACGACAAGAGTCATGTTTGTTTGTCGGGCAAACAGCTGCAGATCTCAGATGGCGGAGGGTTTTGGCTTGAATTTAACGAAGTCTTCCAGCATTGTGGAGGTGGTGAGCTGTGGCCTAGCTAAAAGTTCTGTGAACCAAAGGGCGGTGGCGGTGATGAAAGATGCCGGAGTGGACATTTCATCTCACCGTAGCAGGTCCATTGATGAATTTAAGCCAGCTGATTTCGATGTAGTGATCTCCATGTGCGGGTGTAGTGCCACGTTGCCGGACGACTGGCGAAGCAGACCTGTGTTTCGTGATTGGAATTTGGGTAAGTTCAACTGCGTGTAATTATTGTGTTTGTGGATGAAGTCAACCATTGACGCCACCTACACAAAGTTCCTGGCTCAAGCACAGGGTTCTAGCCAGGTCAATATAGTAGGGGGCGGGCATGCGAAAAAGTTACCCCATGACCCATTTTTTCCATTTTCCAAAATTGTCTTGCCATGCAAAATGTAACATACAGGGTGAACCCCGACGTCACCCCTCACAAATGTGCCTTTATGAACCCTCTAGTACAGTAGTAGTGACTATCGACTGTATTTTCGTTGAATGGCGTGAAAAAACACAAAAATCGGAAAATGAGTAGGGGGGCGCGCAAACGGAGTAGGGGGGCGCTGCGCCCCCCTACCCCCCTTTGACTAGAACCCTGCAAGCATACAACTTACAAGATCAGGGCTGTAGCGGGCGGTCCAGTCCGGTCATGACCAAACTTGTTTCTTTACGTTACCCCTATATGTGCAAAGTCCGAAAACCAGGATAATTTTGCCATTTTTGGAGACAGGCCAAATGAGTATAATTATTCTATTATCCAGGTGGGACTGGAGTATAAAGTATGAACCAAGGAATTTTGAAAGGTGGACAGTCTTGACAATTTCAATTGAAGAGTACACAATACCAGAACGTATTCAACGCCGCCTGCAGTTTTTTAAATTATCTTCATTAATAGATGATATGCCAAATAACGTGCAACTAGACTTGAGAGGGCATCGCACACAAGTTGCATACAAATTATACTACAATGTGTACATGGTAGGCCCTGAGCTCTGCAGGAATGCAAGTCACAGGTAACCGTACAACTTTGAACTTTGTATGCAACTACTCTGCAATGCCCTCTCAAGTCTAGTTGCACGTTATTTGGCATATCATCTATTGAACGAGACGCCGCAGAACTGGACCAGAAGGTTTGGCAATACATGTATCATCAAAAGTTTGCATGCATGATACACAACTAACCCACACTTATGATAAACAACTAACCCACACTTATGATAAACAAGACGGATGTTGAGCATAGTGCAACCTAATCACTTCCCCTCTACTTTGTCTAGAGTCTCTGCATAAGTGACAAAGCACCAGAAGCAGCTAAAGAAATTTCAAACACACAAATGCCAGCACACAAACATAGCAGAATACCTGCAGTCAGCATGCACTATCCGCCTCTCCCTGTTGGGTGAACCATGCTGCGAAGGCGTGAGCTCACAGTCTCTCCAGGGGTGTTCATTCGAATCCCGCTGCTGCCACCAATGTGAAGACCTGAACTGAACTAAACGATCTGGCTAGAAACGTAGATGCACTGTATTAGAAAAGTATTAGAAAAGTTGCCTGACGATTGAAAAACTCAAGAAACTCGGAGTAGCAACGGATTGTGTTTTCTTGGTGAGGATCGCTTCCATTGTGATGCACTGTATTATATAGGTGGTAATACAGGTGATACATGTAGAACCCAACACAACTACGTGAGACTTAAATCCAACTCAATGTACAGTAAGTCGATAAGTCGCGCACCCGGTCTTGAAGGCAAAGACGCGTGACCTATCGCGAATGCGTGACTTACCTACTGTATGCATGTACACAAGGGCATGCCGTCCGATCTGTAAAAGTGCGCGACTTATCGCGAGTGCGGGACGTGTCGCAAGTAGACTGTTCGCTATGTATCACGCAGTGTGGCATGCTCAATGGTGTGAACTGTCATCACGGTCCTGAAGCTGCAAGTCGTACATGCACCTGCAAGTCCATCATGACATATTGCTCTTTGCAGTACTATCAAGCATATCCAGCTGGCATAATGTGGGTGTTTCCAGAGAATGGCAAAAAATGAGGGGAGGGAAGAGAGAGAGAGAGAGGGGGGGGGGGGGGGGGGGATCGTGGCATTATAACATAGGGTACTGCAATACTCCCATGACTGGACTGGTTTATTTTTTGCCTGCTGTGACTATAAAAGTGTGATGTTGTTAACCAGAAAAGACTGTCCGGCATCTCACGCTATCTAAAGCGGGATTCACAGAAGCAATTTTGCGATGCGATGCGCAATGCGACGGCTGCAGAACCAGGAAATCCCCAAATCGTAGCCATCTCGCAACCCATGCAACCACCGCAACTGGGCCATCGCAGAAGTTGAGCTTGGCTCAACTTTCGCGATGCGACAAGCGATTTGGCGTATGATTTTGACCTTTTCTCCAGCAAAGTTGTACAAAGGTTCAAGAGTTGCCTGTAAATTGGTACAAGTTGTACCAAGCCATGCAAATACCATAGTGACGTACCCACCTGCATTGAACTTCACGCCAAATCTGCAAGGCGTCGTCGCATCAGTGACTTCTTCTGTGAATGGTATTTCGCACGTTTGCATCGCACTCCTCCGTCGCAGATCGTGTCGCATCGCCCATCGCATCGCAAAAAAGCTTCGCAAAAAAGCTTCTGTGAATCCCACTTAACTTATTGCGAACAGATTTAGAAGCAAAAAAAGAGAAGAAACACATGAGAACGAGTTATGCAGCAACTGTCCACGACTGTAACAAGATGATAAACAGTCAGAAAGTGCGATAACAGGGCACAGCACTGACAGGCTACTGAAATATTCAGCGTCATCGTCCTGTAAGAGTCAGCATTCTTTGTTGCTGTGGGACTTAGCTTGTGCACATTTCCGCTGTGCTCACCTTCCCCTCTTTGGTCCTACGTAACCATGAACCTTCCAAGTTGAAAGGCTGTTGGTTTGCGCACTGGAGATGTGTTAGAGCTAGGTCTTGGGTCGCTGAATATCTCAGTAGCCTGTCAGTTTTGTGCCCTATTATCGCACTTTCTGACTGTTTATCATCTTGGTACAGCCGTGGGTAGTTGCTGCATAACTCGTTCTCATGTGTTTCTTCTCCTTTTTACATTATTACTGCCTCAGTATCCGAGTTTAGATTGAGAAGCGCAAGCATTTATCTAAGATTCTCTTCAAATTCTGTGGACGTGAAACTGGTACAAGTACATTGATCTCTAAACATCATTGCAGATTCGGAATTAGCAAATTATTTACGAATACCGTAGTGTCGTGTATTAAAGCCTGTCTCATATAGAAGCCTGATTTTCAAGATACATGTACACTGTTGACACATAAGCCTGGTTTTAGTGTTGACATACATGTACTTCAAGTACATAGAAATACCTGTCTTGTATAATAGAAGCCTTCAAAATTTTCCCCAAAAAGCCATATAAGCCACGGCTTTTATACACAACTTTACGGTAATCGACATGGCGGTAATGATTTAAATAAAGCTATGAAAAAAATCAGCTGCACACTCATGACTCCAAGTACGACAAGACGAGTTGGTCTGAATTTTCCAAGAAGGTCTATTCTTGTGATGGTCATCAGTTGGAATAACATTACAATAAAGTTACTGGGTAAGTAAGCAAGAACAAACGGCTGTAGGGAAAGAATGTCACATATTTACATAGAAACATTGGGAATTAGCACTAGGGTGTAGAAAGTAGTCAAATGAGAACATGGACTATCTAATACATGAATTCAATTATTGTGTGGATTTCTGCATGCATGAGATTACTTTCTACATCATAGTGCTAATTCTCAGTTTTTATCGCAGATTCAGAATCAGCATGATACTCTCTATTAGTCCACCAAAAATGAGCGAATTATTACCAAGATGAAGTCCAGTCCGATCCCTAAATTCTCTGTAGGTTTGCCATAATGAACAAAATGGCTCGTTGCATCTTCAAATTGTTTGAGTCTAAACGTTTTGTGTTGGCTCAACTGGATGTTCTCCTCTCGTTCCCAGCAGTCTTCTATGCAGCCCCTCGCTTCATTTGCCTTGATATCCTTTGTGCTATCTCTGCCATCTGTCATTCTGTGCCTTGGTGCTGTGATGTTAGATGATCCACCAGCACTTGTGGATGGGGAGCCGGGTGTGTTTGAGCGAATTCGGGATGAAATTCACACTTTAGTTCGGAACCTGATCAGCGAGATCTCAACATCAACTTGAACTCCTTTCGGAGCAGCCACTGTCTCCGAGTGTGCTTTGCTTTCCATGTTCAAGCGTTCCTCAGTAGCGCTGCAATGTCATGAGCTTTTCATGTACCTGCCCAGTGCATGCACTTGTGTTGGAATTTGGCAACCATTGTACTCGTCTAGTTTGTGCCACACTTGTTGTCTACTTGTAGCTTTTGGTCATTCTCTTCTTCACTGTCTTCCATTTGAGTGCTGTGTAGCTGGCTCTACACAGATCATTTCCCATTCAGTAGTATGATGTCATGTGGTGTATTTCAATGGATTTGCTTTACTGTATCTTGGATTTTTAAAGTTTTATTTGCAAATTTTTCCACGTACTGATTCTAGTGAATCCTCCCAAGGTAAAATGAAGGATGGGTAACATTAATTTACTTCAGAAGAATATGAAGTTTTATCGGGTTCTATTGTGCAGTATGCTGGCTCCGACATGAATTCAACTTGCACAATATAATTATGTATCGCTAAACGGCAAAACTAGGGCGCATGAATCAGCTCCATAGTGGACTGGAATAGGCTGTCACGACCAATGCATGTTATCTGACAATCATCAACCGCAAGCGTCAGGTAACACAATGGTTTTATATAACTTTTATGGTATGTGTGTTTACCGGTTTGTGTCCTGTATGTGTAAACGTTTCTTCTTCTTTTCAAGTTACTAGTACTGTAAAGTGACAAACTTTCGCTAGAGATTAAATTTCGCTATTTTCGCGACCATCACACATTCGCAAATATAAATCGCCGCAAACCTCTCCGTACATTGATTGTAGACAGTACTAAAATCCGACTGAAGAGATAGAATCGCAAACGTTTCTCATCGTGAACCAGCCCGATTTATGAAGCTAAATTTGCGCGCCGCGAAAGTTAGTCGCTTCACAGTAGTTGATCCTATACCATACATGTACATGATCGTATAGAATGCTACCAGAGTAGTATCTGCAATCTTGGTTTTGAACATACAGAAGATAGTGGTTATAACGTGCCCTTCTGATTTTTCACATTTTATCACTATAACCGGTATATCACTACAGGCGATTTTCAACTGCACGCGTCATACATACACATTATACACGTGTGGGTACTCGATCGCGCTAATGTAGCGTACTGATACGTGATGGATGCTACTGCACCTTCTCCAGTCTAGAGTGAAGAACTTCTTGGCCCAAAGGCATCATCCAGGAAGCACCAGACCAGAATACCCTATGACAACACACATATGGCTCCAAGTTGAGACATCAATGCCTCACACTCGTGTGTTGCTATCACTATAGACGATAATTTTTCTGCACAAAGAGGTGTTTTGAATGGTGATTCTGTATCCTTATAGCCGATTTATCGCTATATACGATATTGGTTATAATGATAATTTGAATGGTTTTTTTCTGGTTTTGCTTTTGATATTTTCATTTTGTATCAATATAGCCGGTTTATCACTATGTCCGATGACTTTATAACCGATATCCACTGTACTAGTAATTATTTTTGTTCTTGGTGAATTCGGAGTGGTGCATCCATACTCACTGAGGACCCGTTTACATGAGAAAAGAAGCCTGGGCTTCTTAGCTTTCTTGTACGACCTAATGGCTCAGTAGCAATGCAAGTAACGTTAATGATTATGATGTGTTGAGTTAGAAGCTTTGAGGCCTAATAGCATCTAGTATGTCAATTGGAAAGTTAGGATTAGGAAATTGGAAAATTCAATAAGATGTGGCAATAGTGTCATGGCCCTGTATAGATAGTACTACTCACCAATACCACGTATAGTACTGCACACATGCACTATCAGCCTGTCACCTACCTCTACCGCGGCTCTTCATCAATGTTCTCTTCCTTTTGATTAGGATAGGGTTACCTCTTCTGTCGCCGGACCTAGACTATCCATTACCATAGAACTGTCAGCTATTGTCTCGGTCCGCTGTTCTGCTGTTCCGCTTAGTTGCTTCGATTCATGATTAGCATAAGCTTCAATACTTAGATACATTACTCTTTGCTGAGTTTAGCACAGCTCACTACTCGTTCGCTGCTGCCTGCTCAATCCTTCCCTTCGTGGCCGCTCGCATAGATTTCAGCTAGTATAAGTTCACTGACTTAGCCAGATATCGAGGAGTCTTGGAGGAGTTTTGGATTAGTCTTGTTTGAGTCTTGTATGAGAAGCATTAGTCTTATTCTCTTTAGCTTTCTTGAATAGACTTTCTTTATAGGAGTTCCGCTACCGCTCAAGCGGACTTGTCCGCTTGAGCCGGTGTGGCCTTTGACTTTGTAGTTTCTTACTGTTCCTTTGTTCCTTTACTATATCGGACCTGAGGGCTCCGCCACCCTGACTTCTCTCTGTGCTTTGGGTCTGAGGTACGCCTGAGTGGAACTACCAAGAGGCGCACATATACTTTGTGCAAACGGGCTTGGGATAACTAACACGTAGGGACGATCAGCCAGCCACGACACTTGGTGCTGTGACCAGGATTCTTCTTGGTCTAGTTTCCCAGGTCCTCCGCCCTACTCTTGGTGTACGCCCTTTCACTCTCCATCATCGTTCCGTCCTCCGCTGTGGCTCTGCCGCACAGGCTCTGTAATCTACGCCGCCTCACGAGTTCTTTGGATTGTGAGTGCCTACTGACGATTCCTCGTCGATCGACGAGTCGTGCGCCAAATCCGTTGAAGACACGCGCTCCGAGTTCCGAACGGCAACAAAGAAAATACTTACGCCAGGTTACCACTGCGTTCGCAGTCGTTTCCTCTTTGAAGAGAAGTAAAAGAGACGTTCCTCGGTGTTGGCCGTCAGTTACGCCGCTCTGCTGTTTCAGCAAAGCCATCCGCTCCCAAACGTGTTGTGGTACTGTCAGTGCTGCTTCCGTTGGCATACGCCTTTGTGATCAGTCCTGCCAGCTCCGCGTTCGGAGCCCTGGTCAATCTGTTCGCCTGTGTTACGCCTGTGAGCTGTGTTCCGCTCGCAAAAAAAAATTAGTTTCGTCTCTTCGCCGGATGCTCCGCGCGCGATCCGTGTTGTACATGATTGTACAGTCCGCACTCTCTGAGCGTGCGCTCACTCCGTTGTGTGTTCAAATCAGCTCAGCTGGTATGGTTCACCGGTTTCTCCGCCGATGTAGTTCCCGTGGGAGCTGTTGACGAAACGCTCATGAGTTACGTGAGTGCTCCGTTGTACTCGACGAGTTTTGGTCCCGCGCGTTGGGTCATTCACCGCTGCAGCACTTCCTCCGGGAAGAGGTTGACTCTACGCGCTCTCCGCTTGATGGAGATGGCCATCCTCCAGCTCTGTGCTCGAGCTCGTTTACGCTGTGTGACGGAGTATGCGCGTCATGCCTCGTCGGTCTTCCGCTTGATTCCGCCAGACCACTTACGCTTATCCCCTGGTGTTGGCCTTTGTCCGCTGTCCACAGCTCCTGTGGTGCATTGATTGTCTTGATAATTGAGTGATTGAGAGATGGCTCTCGTGATACTGATACGCCCTGCAACAGGCGCCTGGCGCCACCTCCGTCCTATTCATGTTTCGTTTCTGTTTCCGCTGATAATTGTCCTTTGTCCCGCGTGGCGATTGAGTTTCGCCTGGTTTACGCTTCGTCTGGTCTGATGCGCCTTTGGCGATGTGGTTCCGCCTGGTGCAAGAGAAGGATTGTGCGCACGATTGGTGCGGTTCGGATCGTCACTGGAGAAGTTCCTGGTCTCGTGACTGGATCCAAGATCGGAGTAGAGAGAAAAGGCTCCGATGGCTCGCGGTTAGTGGTTGCGCTGATTGCCCGTCGTTGTATTGCTGCCGAGTGCTGGCGACGGAATTGAAGTCCGATCTGACCGTGGAGTGGTTTGTATTGTAAAATGCGTAGCCGGCTACGTGACAAGCGGCGAAAGGCTGCTGTGGTGCTCGGGAGCTCGCGTCCGACTGATCAACGGAGAGCGGAGCTGGCCAGGTAAGAGTACGGAGATATATGCACGCGATCAGACCACCGTCTTTTGTGAGTTTTGTTTTTTTGGTTGTCAGTGGAGGTTAGCTGGTTTTATTTTTCAAGGTTTTGGAAGGGTTTTGTCTGAAGTATTTGTTTTGCAAGCAGTAACGGGTTTACTGGTTTTGAAGGGGAGCAGGGGTAATGAATGGTAGTTATTGAGTTCACGGAGGTTGAGAATCTTGGGTTTACTTTAGATTGAAGAATACGTACTAGAAAGTTCCGGCACCAGCTGTTGACGTAACATTGTTTTGTTATCATTTTGTTATTATTTTTGGAGGTTTTGTTGATTTATCCACCTATTCTATCACGGGTTCCGGGTCACTGATGAGTACCATTCTACTATGATGTCTATGTGAAGTACACCTTTGGGCTGTTACTTTTTCGTGTTACCAGGGTGTCAGGCTCTGTTTTGAAGTACATGTAGGTTGAAGGTAGTTGTAGTCTTGTCGTATGAATCATTGCGGGGAGTGTGACTGCATTAATGTTGTTATTGTTGCCGTTGTTGTCCATCGGTACGAGAGTACACTACGCCGCCCATTGGGCCTTCCGTATCCCTGTGTCGTTCATTTCCGCCGGTTTGCATACTGTGGTTGCAAATCACTCTGGTCCGCGTACCAGAAAGACAAAGTACGTAATCATTGTGGTTGCACATGTCTCGAATGACACTGCTCTTACGCCTACTTGTGTTGTCTATCTGGCACATGTCGCCGCTGCTGATATTGCAGCCTAGGGAAACCTATTTGTGTCTCACTGAAGTGCCTGATGGCTTGTTACAGTTTGATGCGCGCCGTCCTTTCTGCCAATTGTGCCATTCTATGGTGTTTTTGGTATTCCGCTGCTAAGTTCTCTTAGCCATATGAATGTTACGCTGCATTATGCTGGGCTGTTGCCACCTGGCCTTGACTGACCAGGCTGCCCACCATAGTTCCATGACCCGTCAATCTTGTTGTTACACGAAGCTGGATTCTGTAGTGAATCTGATCATTACGTGCAACACAGCTTGGGTCCTCTTTCCGCTAACGCTTTTGGCGTTAAACCCCATTGCTGGAGAGTCAATTCTCCCACTGCCGCTCAGATCATTGATTGTGGTGTGCAGTCGTGAGCCATGCTAACAGACTATCACGTCGTGCTCGTTCAGCACAGTTCGTGTGTGTACACACTTGGTCTATGGCTTGCATTTCGCTGAGGTACAAACCGTTGCGTTTCCTACCCTCATGTGTATCAGGTAAACGTTACGCCAGAAACTTTGTGCATGCGCATTCTGTGTGCACAAACGTTCGCCTGTATCTGTCTGCACTGCCCGTCCTCATGACGTTGGCGCTCGTCTGGTGCATCTCGTTTCTAGTAACCTTGTTTGGTTGCTGGTCCCCACCGATTGGTCGAAGTTTCCCCAAACTTTGTGTATACTATGGTGTGGACTATTCCCGGTACAAGACCGTCTCTTGGATGTTGTGTATTGCGTCCCAACTACGCTCGGTCTTCGTGATTATTCTCAGTGATTCTTGTGGATCAACTGTCTTGCTGCCATGTTCTTTCTGAGCTAGGCCACCATCCATTGAGATGGAAGAAAAAAATTCGCTTCTTGAGTTGGTGGAAGATCTGCCTTCTCCCTACGCCAGTCCAGTCATCTGTGAGTGAGGCATTCCTACTGCTACCTGACTTCGAGTCATTGGCTCTGCTGTTCTACCATTACATCTCATCATTTCATCATACCATGCTGATACCATCACTCACCGATAGTACGATGACATGAACACCAGGATTCCATTCCATGGTCTGCTGAGCCTCACCAAGTATCTGTTTTACCCAGCCATTGCCACCAGTTGCTGGAGTGTCAATGTTTCTGCTATGTCTTCGTTGTCCGTCCACCCTGTCACTATAGCCGATTCCGTTTGGTGCTGCACTTACACTAGTACTGCTATGATGTCGTCTGTTCCCTACTACCCTGAGTGCACTGATCCAGTCTACCATCCTGTACTGCCGTCATCTTCTATAGTGTCTACCGTCAAAGAACTGTCTTCCATGTGCCTAGTAGTGTCTGCTCAACTTGATTCAAGTGCTGCCGTCCACCATCGTCATGAGTACCGCCCGCACTGATCTCTGTCTGCTACCTGATGTCACCGAGTAAGACTATCTATGTACGAACAATTGTGCCCTGTATCGTTAGTTCTCTATGTATGACTTTGCTCCTAGCCCACCTCTCAAGTACCTACTGAAAACTGTTACTCCGGTTCCTGTGCCTCGGGCACTGAACAATTACATAGTTGTAGTTCCTCCTTATCTACCGGATGCTTAGCTTCTGATTGCTTCATGGCACTACTAAAAACTAAATAAAAATGTGCCAGTGGTTAGCCCCTTGACCATTCTTTTTCTGTTTAGGCATAGCTCATCAGCACTCTTCCTGTCTTGCTGTTTTGATTCTGCTTCGTGCCTGTTTGCCTTGCAAAATTCCCCCCCCCCCCCCCCAACAACATTAGAACCTGTCCGGAATGCCCCAGGTTGATGCGAACATAGCCTACGAACTGTATTCCCCACTGTTAGTTGCAGCTTTAGCTTCCCCAGTTTAGTTTTGGTTCGCAGTCTGACGCTTTGTTCCCTTCTGCTCACACCCTCTTTGGAACTACTGCGATGTTTAGTTTTCTCTTATTTTAGCCCTTTTAATTTGCTCTTTTGTGTTGTTTCTTCCCGTCACGAGGACGTGACCCTTTTCTTTGTAGCCGAGGGAGATGTCATGGCCCTGTATAGATAGTACTACTCACCAATACCACGTATAGTACTGCACACATGCACTATCAGCCTGTCACCTACCTCTACCGCGGCTCTTCATCAATGTTCTCTTCCTTTTGATTAGGATAGGGTTACCTCTTCTGTCGCCGGACCTAGACTATCCATTACCATAGAACTGTCAGCTATTGTCTCGGTCCGCTGTTCTGCTGTTCCGCTTAGTTGCTTCGATTCATGATTAGCATAAGCTTCAATACTTAGATACATTACTCTTTGCTGAGTTTAGCACAGCTCACTACTCGTTCGCTGCTGCCTGCTCAATCCTTCCCTTCGTGGCCGCTCGCATAGATTTCAGCTAGTATAAGTTCACTGACTTAGCCAGATATCGAGGAGTCTTGGAGGAGTTTTGGATTAGTCTTGTTTGAGTCTTGTATGAGAAGCATTAGTCTTATTCTCTTTAGCTTTCTTGAATAGACTTTCTTTATAGGAGTTCCGCTACCGCTCAAGCGGACTTGTCCGCTTGAGCCGGTGTGGCCTTTGACTTTGTAGTTTCTTACTGTTCCTTTGTTCCTTTACTATATCGGACCTGAGGGCTCCGCCACCCTGACTTCTCTCTGTGCTTGGGTCTGAGGTACGCCTGAGTGGAACTACCAAGAGGCGCACATATACTTTGTGCAAACGGGCTTGGGATAACTAACACGTAGGGACGATCAGCCAGCCACGACAATAGCAACATCAGAATAATATACTTTTAGCATGCATGTGCCATCTAGGAGCACTGAATCAAAGAAGCCTATGACTAACAATGTTTCTAAATTTTTACTCTCAATTCAGGAAATTTTTTGAATGCATTGCACATGCCGCTGCTTCTTTGAATACATGCTTGCTGTCGTCTTGCATCCCTATAATGACTAGCTTGTCTGTTGGAAGTGTACACAGAGTACAGAGTGTACTCCTATTTACAGAGGAGAAGGTGACTGTGACTTGCATCTGTGTGATTGTAGGCATGGCTGCCAAGGTTGTTTGTTGAGCACTTTTACTCAGATAGGAGCCAAAGCAAGGTCAGTCTCAGTGACATTTCTCTGCTTCCAGCACATCCACCGGCTCACACCATTGGACCCTTCCGACATTACCCTCCTGCTGGATGGTGCCAAGATACTCTATTGCTCTCGCAGGCCGGATTGAGTCTTTATTCTTCAACAGTGGTGTCGTCGGGTTCCTCAGCCGAGCTGGTGCTTACTGGCTTTGCACTCGCTGCCCCAGCATGCGCCTCTGGTGTTCCTTCGCTTGGTGCCTCCAGCGATGAGTCAGTTGAAGATGCATCACTCGCCTCTTTCTCTGCTTCAGAGTGGCCTGCGCTTTCCTCCGCGGTTGATGCACTGGAGGTATCAGAACCAAAGAACACCTCTGCTACAGCTTGTAAAACAGACTTGTCAGGCACCGAGGCTTCCACTGGTTCTTGAGATGATGGTGCCACTTCTTCTGCTTCAGCGACGGCACCTGGAGAAGCTGTCTCAGTCGGGGTGACATCTTGCACTGCTTCCACATGCTCAGTGGTGGAGGCGCATTCAGTTATGGGAACAGCGGAGAGATCAGTTGAAGTCTCAGCTGCCTCCTGTTCAGCTTGAGCAGGGTCTGGAGAAGTTGCCTCGAGCGTGTCTGTGTGCACATCTCCAGTGACTACATCATTCACGGCTGCCTTTTCCTCTGCGTGTGCTTCAGACGTATCTCCAAGTGCAGACACAGCAGCTCCATCAGTAGAAGCCGTTTCGCCCGCTTCTTCTTTGGTACCTGCGGGGTCACCTGTATTCAGAGTTCCTGTTTCAGGGGTGTCTTCCTCTGCTGCTGCTTCTGCCGCAGAACTTATTCCCTCTTCTTCTGGCTGATCTGCTGGAGCAGCAGCCACAGAGGCAGTACATTTTTCTTGTTCATTAGCTGTGCTTGGGTCAACATGATTATTTTGTGCAACCGCTGCACCGGGTTCATGGTCCTGTGCTAGCCCTTCTACAGCTACAGTCTCCACCGCTTCTGTGCTCTCCTGCGCCTCGGGCTCGGGAACTTCTGTATCCGGTACCACAGCGGACTCGGCCGTCACAACTGGAGTGTCAGCAGTCGATGCCTGGTCTGTTCCAGCGTCGACAACAGGTGTTTCTTTGTCCTCAGGGATAGCAGATTCAGCAGCGGCAGCAAGGAGGTCTAATGGCTGTGCATTCACACACTCTTCGGCTGTACCGGCCCCTCCAGCTGGCTCATTCACCACGTCAGTATCCAGGATACCATCTGTACTTGGCGGAGTGCTGACACCAATATCCTCCTCCATCTTGACAAGCTCTTCTTGTTCGCCCGAGCTTTTCTCGGGACTCGGCGCTGGTTGTTTGGATGAGAGGTCTTCGCATTGGGACTCGGCTATGGGTGCCTCTGCCGGCTGTGCCGAGCCCAGGAACTGTGTTTCACCATCGCTGGTCACCGTGGAGGGCTTTCTCGACTGCACCAGGCTGACTTCACTCTCTCTGCGGTGTTTTTCTGCGCAAGAAGGGAATACACAAGAAATCCGGCGTTTCAGTTGGCGTGCTTTGTTGTGGTGGGAGAATCCCAAAGAGACTGGAAGGGCTACTCTTAATGTAAAGGCTACTCTTTCATCACCATAGCTAGGTAGACACGGAGGAACTCATGGAGTGAGTGGGTAGTTTGAGCTAGCACCGCCATCATTCACCACAAATCAGTTTGCAGCAAATGCAACTGTGTTTCACCATGGGAATGTAGCACATGCAACAGTGCATTGCTGAGAGTGTGAAAGTCGCACACGCGCCACTGCACTAACCTTCCTGTAACCGCAGCGATACCAGCGAGCGCTTCCGGTCCATTTCTCGGTGCATTTCCTTCTTGCTGCGCGTGATGCACCAGACGGCAAGTGCCACCATTACCGCCAACCCGGCCAGACCAGTAACAATGCCGACTATGGCACCAGTGCTCAGTGCTGAGGACTTCTCGGCAGGTTGTTCGCCTGCAGTGTATGCACAACAGCGGCGGCGGCAGCACTAGGTTAGACAGCAAATACACAGTAATATCTGCATCGTCATGCGCACCTGTGGTCTGCTGCTACCATACATGTACTCAAGAATGCATGTAACTGAAGCAGTGATGATGCAATGTCAAACTGGATCCATTAATTGTCAATCATCATCCAACAAACAACAACTAAAAAAACGTGTCCCAAGTCTACATTGCACCGAATCACGGTCGATTGTGTGTGCTTGGACTGAAAACGTGCTCTATTTCAAGTACATGAATATCTGCCACTACTACGTACACCTGTGTTGCATGCAGCTGCAATGTTTTCTTGCTAAGTGTGCTATGGTAACACAGTTTGAAAACTTACAGATCGGCACTGGATGTGACCAGAACGTGGCGGATGCATTGCTCTCACAGGTTGTGCTCAATGCACCTCTGATCGCCAGTCCTTCGGGACATTGGAAGAATACTTGCGAGCCAACCACGCCCATTTCGCCAATGGTGCTGTTAGTTCCTAGGAAGGACTGCAGTGGACCGCAGGTAGCTGGAACAGTATGTTGTACACAAACATAGTATTATGTAATGTAATGACAGTCCTAACTTCAGTGGACCGCAGGTAGCTGGAACAGTGTGTTGTACACAAAAAGAGTATTATGTAACGACAGTGCTTCTTTTGTTCTGCGCACGACAACAGCCCACACACGGGGAAGCATAGCCCTTGCGCCTTTGAGGACCCAATTTAGGCTGGCTTGTAAAAGAATATTCGGACCCGTAACTCCATACATTGGGTTAGCCTGTCAGAGCTGGCCTGTTAGTGCTTGCAATGACCACACCAGATGCAGGGTTGGATTTCACTCACGACCAGTGCATTTCAGTACAGGACTACTTGATATACTGTAAGTCAGCAAATAGTCGGTGCAAATTTATTTCGCTGCTCTGAGCACGCAGCGCGGACAATAAGACATGAAAGTATACTAGTGAAAGCTTTCAAGATGTTCAAGAGCCTGAAGTGTGTTCTACTTCTCAGTATCATTGCATTCTTGTCTCCAAGGAAACAGTTGGTATTATTTATTTTCGGCTACTGTCGGCCTGGGCAATTTGCCCTAAAATTTGTTGCGGCCGAAATTTTGTTTTGCAAGAGGCAGAAATTTAAATGCGTCAACAATTTGTAGACTTACAGTACATCAACTCCAAAAAAGAGAAAAAATTAGTTTTTCTCACGAAATGCAAACTGACAACATCATGCCAAAAATGCCCAAAGTACAACAGTCATGTACTACATAGTACATACAGTCTGTATCGGCTATAGAGTGACCGGATATTAGAATATATCGGCTACAGTGATATTGGTACGAAATATCAAAAGCAAAGCGTATTTTATCCAGTAAAAATATCACTATAACCAATATTATCGGATGTAATGATATATCGGTTATTATGATGGCAACAAAGAATCAAAACATGCATAACACACTACATTATTATCGGCTATAGTGATAACTTTATAATACATGTAGCAATAATATCAAAGGCCCTATTTTTTTACTTTCTTCACGTTGCTTATTTTTATGGTGATACATGTACATGTACATAACAGAATTTTTTTATGGAAATGCGGGCACTGTCAACTATGCAGCATGCTCATTTGTCAAAACGCCACGCTGGAAGTATTTCCTTGCCTTTCATGTGTCGATCGAAAAAAATCAAAAAAAATCGATCATATCGCATATAGTGATGCATCGGTTATAGTGATAAAATCACGGAAATCATAAGGGTACGCTATAGCCGATACAGACTGTGCACGCATAAACTGATAATTAGGAACAAACGAAACACACTACAAAAAAGTAACAATAGTTACCAAACATACGCATACATACAACCACAAATACATGTACATGCACATACATTTTACACATTTACGAACAAGGAGCCATCAAAACGGATAGCACAATGAACTCACCATGACACCTGCTACCAATGAGGGTTCTTAGATGGCCGCACTGGCAGACGAATGACCCATTGGTGTTGAGGCAGGAATCGCAGAGCCTTCCCTCGCCAGTCTTCGGATCACACTCATTGATATCTGGCACAGTCGGAGGGGAAAGGCAAAAACCAGATCATGTGTTGTAATGCATATTTCGACGGCATGGCTTTCGACTTGAAATAGGAGTGGCACCGGGGTGCACCCAATGTGTTCATATTTTTAAAAATACATCTACTTTTGTAAGTGCATACAGACAGACAGACAGACAGACAGACAGACAGACAGACAGACAGACAGACAGACAGACAGACAGACAGACAGGCAGGCAGGCAGGCAGGCAGGCAGGCAGACGAACAGACAGACAGATTGCTGGTTCAAAACAACTAAACGGTTACCTGGGTGATGCACACAAGGCATAGGTCACTTTGTCTTGTGCACATCATGGTGGTACATGTACATTGTGATTGTTTAGGGGTTGCTGATTGGCGCTACGCAGGCGAGTTCTTTCTAGATTTTCAGGTACATGTGCATGTCGTACTGCTCTGTGCTCTGCTTCACTTCTACCTTCTGTGGTTGTGCCGGTAGGTGGGGTGCACCGTGCGGCGTGCAACAGTTGACATTGAATGATTCACCACATTAGTCACAGATAAGAGTTTTGAAGTAGCGATGTACAGTACTGTCGGTGGCCGAAGAACTGGGGGGGGGGGGGGGGGGTCAGCCTCCTAGCCTTGACTGTTCTTATTTTCATGTAGTACAGTCTATGCGCAGTTGAGTCACTGTGTATATATTGGTATGCTTTGTGACATTCTATTCTGGTCGTTCTTCGGCGCTACCAGACAACAGTACTGTACTAGATGGATTCTGAAGCCAGGGTTCCTGACTGACTTAGATTCTGAAGGGTTCCTGACTGACTTAGATTCTGAAGGGTTCCTGACTGACTTAGATTCTGAAGGGTTCCTGACTGACTTAGATTCTGAAGGGTTCCTGACTGACTTAGATTCTGAAGGGTTCCTGACTGACTTAGATTCTGAAGGGTTCCTGACTGACTTAGATTCTGAAGGGTTCCTGACTGACTTAGATTCTGAAGGGTTCCTGACTGACTTAGATTCTGAAGGGTTCCTGACTGACTTAGATTCTGAAGGGTTCCTGACTGACTTAGATTCTGAAGGGTTCCTGACTGACTTAGATTCTGAAGGGTTCCTGACTGACTTAGATTCTGAAGGGTTCCTGACTGACTTAGATTCTGAAGGGTTCCTGACTGACTTAGATTCTGAAGGGTTCCTGACTGACTTAGATTCTGAAGGGTTCCTGACTGACTTAGATTCTGAAGGGTTCCTGACTGACTTAGATTCTGAAGGGTTCCTGACTGACTTAGATTCTGAAGGGTTCCTGACTGACTTAGATTCTGAAGGGTTCCTGACTGACTTAGATTCTGAAGGGTTTCTGACTGACTTAGATTCTGAAGGGTTCCTGACTGACTTAGATTCTGAAGGGTTCCTGACTGACTTAGATTCTGAAGGGTTCCTGACTGACTTAGATTCTGAAGGGTTCCTGACTGACTTAGATTCTGAAGGGTTCCTGACTGACTTAGATTCTGAAGGGTTCCTGACTGACTTAGATTCTGAAGGGTTCCTGACTGACTTAGATTCTGAAGGGTTCCTGACTGACTTAGATTCTGAAGGGTTCCTGACTGACTTAGATTCTGAAGGGTTCCTGACTGACTTAGATTCTGAAGGGTTCCTGACTGACTTAGATTCTGAAGGGTTCCTGACTGACTTAGATTCTGAAGGGTTCCTGACTGACTTAGATTCTGAAGGGTTCCTGACTGACTTAGATTCTGAAGGGTTCCTGACTGACTTAGATTCTGAAGGGTTCCTGACTGACTTAGATTCTGAAGGGTTCCTGACTGACTTAGATTCTGAAGGGTTCCTGACTGACTTAGATTCTGAAGGGTTTCTGACTGACTTAGATTCTGAAGGGTTCCTGACTGACTTAGATTCTGAAGGGTTCCTGACTGACTTAGATTCTGAAGGGTTCCTGACTGACTTAGATTCTGAAGGGTTCCTGACTGACTTAGATTCTGAAGGGTTCCTGACTGACTTAGATTCTGAAGCCTTCCTGACTGACTTAGATTCTGAAGGGTTCCTGACTGACTTAGATACTGAAGGGTTTCTGACTGACTTAGATTCTGAAGGGTTTCTGACTGACTTAGATTCTGAAGGGTTCCTGACTGACTTAGATTCTGAAGGGTTCCTGACTGACTTAGATTCTGAAGGGTTTCTGACTGACTTAGATTCTGAAGGGTTCCTGACTGACTTAGATTCTGAAGGGTTCCTGACTGACTTAGATTCTGAAGGGTTCCTGACTGACTTAGATTCTGAAGGGTTCCTGACTGACTTAGATTCTGAAGGGTTCCTGACTGACTTAGATTCTGAAGGGTTCCTGACTGACTTAGATTCTGAAGGGTTCCTGACTGACTTAGATTCTGAAGGGTTCCTGACTGACTTAGATTCTGAAGGGTTCCTGACTGACTTAGATTCTGAAGGGTTCCTGACTGACTTAGATTCTGAAGGGTTTCTGACTGACTTAGATTCTGAAGGGTTCCTGACTGACTTAGATTCTGAAGGGTTCCTGACTGACTTAGATTCTGAAGGGTTCCTGACTGACTTAGATTCTGAAGGGTTCCTGACTGACTTAGATTCTGAAGGGTTCCTGACTGACTTAGATTCTGAAGCCTTCCTGACTGACTTAGATTCTGAAGGGTTCCTGACTGACTTAGATTCTGAAGGGTTTCTGACTGACTTAGATTCTGAAGGGTTTCTGACTGACTTAGATTCTGAAGGGTTCCTGACTGACTTAGATTCTGAAGGGTTCCTGACTGACTTAGATTCTGAAGGGTTTCTGACTGACTTAGATTCTGAAGGGTTCCTGACTGACTTAGATTCTGAAGGGTTCCTGACTGACTTAGATTCTGAAGGGTTCCTGACTGACTTAGATTCTGAAGGGTTCCTGACTGACTTAGATTCTGAAGGGTTTCTGACTGACTTAGATTCTGAAGGGTTCCTGACTGACTTAGATTCTGAAGGGTTCCTGACTGACTTAGATTCTGAAGGGTTCCTGACTGACTTAGATTCTGAAGGGTTCCTGACTGACTTAGATTCTGAAGGGTTCCTGACTGACTTAGATTCTGAAGCCTTCCTGACTGACTTAGATTCTGAAGGGTTCCTGACTGACTTAGATTCTGAAGGGTTTCTGACTGACTTAGATTCTGAAGGGTTTCTGACTGACTTAGATTCTGAAGGGTTCCTGACTGACTTAGATTCTGAAGGGTTCCTGACTGACTTAGATTCTGAAGGGTTTCTGACTGACTTAGATTCTGAAGGGTTCCTGACTGACTTAGATTCTGAAGGGTTCCTGACTGACTTAGATTCTGAAGGGTTCCTGACTGACTTAGATTCTGAAGGGTTCCTGACTGACTTAGATTCTGAAGGGTTCCTGACTGACTTAGATTCTGAAGGGTTCCTGACTGACTTAGATTCTGAAGGGTTCCTGACTGACTTAGATTCTGAAGGGTTTCTGACTGACTTAGATTCTGAAGGGTTCCTGACTGACTTAGATTCTGAAGGGTTCCTGACTGACTTAGATTCTGAAGGGTTCCTGACTGACTTAGATTCTGAAGGGTTCCTGACTGACTTAGATTCTGAAGGGTTCCTGACTGACTTAGATTCTGAAGGGTTCCTGACTGACTTAGATTCTGAAGGGTTCCTGACTGACTTAGATTCTGAAGGGTTCCTGACTGACTTAGATTCTGAAGCCTTCCTGACTGACTTAGATTCTGAAGGGTTCCTGACTGACTTAGATTCTGAAGGGTTTCTGACTGACTTAGATTCTGAAGGGTTCCTGACTGACTTAGATTCTGAAGGGTTCCTGACTGACTTAGATTCTGAAGGGTTTCTGACTGACTTAGATTCTGAAGGGTTCCTGACTGACTTAGATTCTGAAGGGTTCCTGACTGACTTAGATTCTGAAGGGTTCCTGACTGACTTAGATTCTGAAGGGTTCCTGACTGACTTAGATTCTGAAGGGTTCCTGACTGACTTAGATTCTGAAGGGTTCCTGACTGACTTAGATTCTGAAGCCTTCCTGACTGACTTAGATTCTGAAGGGTTCCTGACTGACTTAGATTCTGAAGGGTTTCTGACTGACTTAGATTCTGAAGGGTTCCTGACTGACTTAGATTCTGAAGGGTTCCTGACTGACTTAGATTCTGAAGGGTTTCTGACTGACTTAGATTCTGAAGGGTTCCTGACTGACTTAGATTCTGAAGGGTTCCTGACTGACTTAGATTCTGAAGGGTTCCTGACTGACTTAGATTCTGAAGGGTTCCTGACTGACTTAGATTCTGAAGGGTTCCTGACTGACTTAGATTCTGAAGGGTTCCTGACTGACTTAGATTCTGAAGGGTTCCTGACTGACTTAGATTCTGAAGCCTTCCTGACTGACTTAGATTCTGAAGGGTTCCTGACTGACTTAGATTCTGAAGGGTTTCTGACTGACTTAGATTCTGAAGGGTTCCTGACTGACTTAGATTCTGAAGGGTTCCTGACTGACTTAGATTCTGAAGGGTTTCTGACTGACTTAGATTCTGAAGGGTTCCTGACTGACTTAGATTCTGAAGGGTTCCTGACTGACTTAGATTCTGAAGGGTTTCTGACTGACTTAGATTCTGAAGGGTTCCTGACTGACTTAGATTCTGAAGGGTTCCTGACTGACTTAGATTCTGAAGGGTTCCTGACTGACTTAGATTCTGAAGGGTTCCTGACTGACTTAGATTCTGAAGGGTTCCTGACTGACTTAGATTCTGAAGGGTTCCTGACTGACTTAGATTCTGAAGGGTTCCTGACTGACTTAGATTCTGAAGGGTTCCTGACTGACTTAGATTCTGAAGGGTTCCTGACTGACTTAGATTCTGAAGGGTTCCTGACTGACTTAGATTCTGAAGGGTTCCTGACTGACTTAGATTCTGAAGCCTTCCTGACTGACTTAGATTCTGAAGGGTTCCTGACTGACTTAGATTCTGAAGGGTTTCTGACTGACTTAGATTCTGAAGGGTTCCTGACTGACTTAGATTCTGAAGGGTTCCTGACTGACTTAGATTCTGAAGGGTTTCTGACTGACTTAGATTCTGAAGGGTTCCTGACTGACTTAGATTCTGAAGGGTTCCTGACTGACTTAGATTCTGAAGGGTTTCTGACTGACTTAGATTCTGAAGGGTTCCTGACTGACTTAGATTCTGAAGGGTTCCTGACTGACTTAGATTCTGAAGGGTTCCTGACTGACTTAGATTCTGAAGGGTTCCTGACTGACTTAGATTCTGAAGGGTTCCTGACTGACTTAGATTCTGAAGGGTTCCTGACTGACTTAGATTCTGAAGGGTTCCTGACTGACTTAGATTCTGAAGGGTTCCTGACTGACTTAGATTCTGAAGCCTTCCTGACTGACTTAGATTCTGAAGGGTTCCTGACTGACTTAGATTCTGAAGGGTTCCTGACTGACTTAGATTCTGAAGGGTTCCTGACTGACTTAGATTCTGAAGGGTTCCTGACTGACTTAGATTCTGAAGCCTTCCTGACTGACTTAGATTCTGAAGGGTTCCTGACTGACTTAGATTCTGACTCAACCCAGGAACGTGCAACTCTGATCTCCGAGCTGTGGGTGCCCTGTGTGGCGCGCTGCCTTCATTGCGTAGTGAAACGACGATCCAGCTGCCTGGGTTAGAGTTTTCCTACAGTTTACCTCATTAGACCCTTTGCACAATAAGCGAGAGGGGTCGAGACGGGGCATGCTGTGCACGCGCTGCACACTTGGCATGCAACCAGCATGCATGGTTTGCTGCAGGACATGATCAAGTTTCCTGTGACAGGCTGTGTTTTCACGGTCCCGACGCGATGTTCAACTAACTTCATGTACTCCCCAGCCTTTTTTGAAGTTTTTTCATTTGAAGTTTTTTAAGTTTTTGAAGGAAGAAGTTTCGAAATGCTTTCCAAGGACCACTTCTGGGTTCTGGTTTGCACCAACCGTCATCCCTAACGTTAGTCTAAGGAACCCACTTGTCTTTCCATGCGTTCCCTGGTGATACTGGCATTCCGCACTCTCGAATCCTGGCTATCTGGCGAGAAGAGGGCCGCAGTGCTGCGATATCGTTCACAGTGTTGTGCTCGGAACACTTTGTCCATGACGACTTTCATCCTTGCTTTTGCTAAGATAATGAACGCCCTGCCAAGAGACTCTGGAGCTTGAGAAAAAGGCATGACCCATCCCTGTCTTCGCTATTGGAAGATCGACTGCTTGCTGGCGCTGCTCGAGCTACTGATGTTGAAGTGGAGAGAGACGCAGCCTCATCGCTCAGGTGTGCGGAGAAAGTCATCTGAGTTCGAGCTGTGGCTGCGTGCACGATATGACCGACTTTCACATTATGCACATAGCCACCAAAGTAAAACTCATGGACACTATCCACGGGCTTGTTCACTAGTACTACTCCATCAGCTCCCTCTTCACTGTCGTCGGCGACTTGCCCCTGCGTTGGAGACGAGCACGCATGGTGTGGCACTCACTCTGGGAAACAGAGGTTCATCACTCATCCACTGGGAGTCGGACGCATGAAATGTTGGGCATGATGAAGGTACACTCGAGGAAGTGGTGCCCTTCTTAGTTCTAGGAGCATCAGGGTACTGCATAGAGAAGTGTGTGTGTGTTCTCTACATGGACAGAGGAGAGAAGGTAGAGAAGCGAAACATATTTCAATCTGCAGTACAGTAATCCGAAATATCCACTGAATGCGGAAGACTTACCGCTCCAACCACTCCTTCTTTTTCCAGACAGATACGCACCCTCATTCAGCAGAAAACTGTTCAGTTCCTTCACAGACCATTCTTCATTGGACAGTTCGTCCACGGGTTCCACAGCCATCGATGGCAAACCACTCGACACTCTCCCCTCAATCTCCAAAATGGAAAAATACAGTGTTCCACCATGCTCAACAACTGATACTCTGCACAAAAATCGAAGAGGATGCCCCGTCTCGGATCACGTGACCGTTATTGTGCAAAGGGTCTATTCACGTGAAATGTGGTAAGTTCAAAGGCAATGCATATGCGTGACACGTCACGTACAAAACCATCCGAAGTCTCCGAGGAGAGCGGATTTGTAAGCATGGAACCGTAGCAGATCAATAACGACACAATGACCCACAGTTCATGGCTACGTAATGCAGGCAACGTGCCGCGCCAGACCCCATGTGCAGAGGTGCATAACAGTTACTATTGAGGTTATGTACTCTTGGGATTAGTACTGGTTCGTACTGGCTCTCATCTTCAGCAACCTTTACAGACAGAAGATCTCATCACAGGCCTGCATCATCTCACTTCGCCATGGCCCAGCATATGCATGCACATCACTGGGTACCCACTGCCTACATACACGCACGGGTATGTACTGCTGTGTACTTCAAGTACATACTATCATGCACACAGGCATGTATACATATCATATACACAGGTAACGGTACCCTTGGTGGTGCAACTACTTGTGCATGTATGCTGTGGGTATTGACTTCATTGAGCCATTGCACTGAGGCCGGTGCTGCTTCAAACTCACCAGTGCACTCATCGTCCACGTTCGTCCAGTTGCCGTCAAAGCACCGGATTTCAATGTTCACCATCTGTGCATAGTTGTGCAGCCACTGGTACCCGCTGTCGCAAGTGTAGCTGACGAAATCTCCCGTCATCGCCTCATCCGTGTCGTTGGAAACCTCGCCATTGTCGATTATCGGTGGGAAAGGACACGTCACATTGTCATCTGTTGATGAAGGCACAGAACAATCATTATGAACATGGCTGAGCTAATTACAATGACACCATTAAATGTAAAATAGAAGAAGAAAACACCAGGGAAAGAGTTATGAAGCAACTATCCACGACTGCATCAAGAAGTTAATAAGCAGAGGGAGGGGGGGGGAGGGGGGGGGGAGAGGGAGGGGGGGAGGGGGGGGGGAGAGGGAGGGGGGGAGAGGGAGGGGGGGGTTGTATTATTCTTAAGGTGGTCACTGCAGTGTTGTTGAAACACATACCGGTGGAATTGGCCATTGACGCGCCAGGCGTGGGCATACCATGTGAACCTGCACAACACGACACGGCACATGCACACACACCATGTACCACACACGCACACGTACATGTACACACATTGCATCACATGATAAAAAGTAAAATAAAAATGAAGTCAACTTGAAATTCCGTCGGGTCAGCATTTGGCAGTGTGTGCATGTATGTGTGTGTGTGTGTGTGTGTGTGTGTGTGTGTGTGTGTGTGTGTGTGTGTGCACGTGCACAGTATGTGTTATGAGAGAACTGATGCATGCATCCTTTCCTGACCCGGTTGTGCAGTACCAGCATACATGTACGGTTGTACCCTATTTTTCGGTTGTAAGTCGACCTTTTACCACTAAAAATGGAAGGAGAAAGAGTGGGGGTCGACTTACAACCGGGATTCGACTTATAACCGGGAACTATCAGTATCTTACAAAAAATGACCTGCACTGCATGCACGAGTGCACCATGCGTACACGTTTTTGCCAGTTTATTGGCCTTTTTCAAGGATTGGGACGTTATACCCTCCAATAAGAAATGCTCACATGATTTGTTGATGTGTTAGTAGCAGGGAGTGGTTAGTAGTGCTTTCTTTGAGTGATAACTTTAAAACGCAGAATTGAGACCTCCGGATACGGGGTCGACCTATAACCGGGATCGACCTATAACCGGGGTCGACCTATAACCTGGGTCGACCTATAACCGGGGTCGATCTATAACCGGGGTCGACTTACCACCGGTAAAATACGGTACTTGGAATAGCAAGTCTGAACTTGACCAGAGAAGCCTGGCTGACCTTTACCCAAATGGCGTGCGTGCTTGAAGATCAGCAGAATGGAATGCTTGAACGCACTCTTTACCAGTCAGGTGTCCAATGTAGCTCTTGCCTCCAGCATTACATGTAGTCGGGTACTAATTTTGTTCTTGCTTTAGTTTGCATTGGTGCACTACAGTCTCTGTCAATTCAATCTGTATGCGGCCAGACGGCGATATCATGCCAGACACCGCTACCACCCGTGCCGGGCCGCAGGACTATTTTCCTACCATCCCAGTAGAAAAAGAGAAAAAAATGGCACGCGTTCACGTACAGGGCGGGTCAAGAACCACCTCCGCTTCCGTGGGACATCCGCAGAAAATCTCGGGGATGTAGACATTTCACAAACGGAATTGCTACTTGTGCATTCTCCCTTGTCCAAGTGAATTCAGAATTTTATGGGATTTCAATTTTAGCGTGCATCATGACTGTCAGGATGGGTTTCAATGGTGCGCTCCGTTTTCTCCGGAAACACAGTTACAATGTGTGCAAAACTGTTTGAATGGCCTTTGCGAGTGCACAGAGAGCTCTGCGGTGTCGGGTCTCTGGACAAGCTCATCTCTAGACCAAAGGCCAAGAGGCAAGAGCATGAGCGCTCTCTCTCTCTCGAGCCACGACCCGCAATCGAATATTCCATAGAAATAATTGCCAATAACTACTCAGGTTGTTCTTCATTTCACATCGACACACACACATACACATACGTACGCACACACACGCGCATAAACACACAAACACACACACACACCCACACACATACACACGCGCGCACACCCACACGCACACACACACGCACACATTGCAGCTGTACCAGCTTACCAGTCGGCAGCCAGGACGCGACGAGCGCCGTCCCCAGCACTGCTGTGATCAGCGCGTACTTGAACATCTGCGTCGCCATTGCCGCAAGGCCAAGGGCCACAAGAATGATCCGTAGCCCGTTCACAACAATCCGCCTACAACCATTACATAGCGTTGGCGGAATCGCACAAACACAGACTATGACTGAGCGGAGCTCGATAACACCAAACTTATCTAAGTAAGTTTGTTAGAAGTGGTCGACTGGCAGCAGACGGGCCCAGGCTACATTACTGCCTGTAGATTACCATGATTACGTGGTGGCCGAATGACCATGATGTCGACGCCGGGACTGAACACGTCCTAATGCGAGTGGTAGGTGTTGCATTCAGAAACCGCCCAGCTCAATCTGATGGTCGGTTTGGGCGTGTTGTTATGATCCATTCCCAGTCAGATAGCACGTGCGGTGGCTCTGTAGGCTGTAGATCTACAGCCTAGCCTACAGTACACGGTAGATCCACAGTCTACTAGTCTGTGCTTGCGGATTCCTGGCAGACTACTATACTGTCACTGGTACATGTACTTACAAGTGGTAGATAGCGTCATGTAGATCTGCGTGCAGACATACAAGGCTACGTTTCATCTACAATAGACTACATGATTGAGCGCCAAAATATTGAACATACATGTTAGTATCTAGCTCTTCCGTCAAATGCATCCAACGTGTATCCGACGTGTACCCAACGTGTAAAAAGACAAACTTGCAATTTGCTCAGGTTTTTTGAAACAAAACTACACAACAAGATCAACAACGAAGTGATTTACAAACATAAGTAGTTGACGTGACCAACGTGTAGCCGGGGTGTTCGGACGTGGTGAAGGCCTACCCGTGGCCACGTCGGGACATCACCAACCCCGTCTACACAGAGAGCACCTTCTCGCGACAGTGTCATGGTGATGACAAAAAGACAGGCTGTTGACAGCTGACGAGCTGAGAGAAGGACGCCATGGGCAGAAGTTAGTTGGAAGAAAAAAGAAAAAGAAAAAGAAGTTTTATACGAAGAAAACAAGACGACATCAGGAGTAGTCTCCTAACACCAAGAATATATATTATACTCTTGCTAACACCCTAGCATAATGAGGGTCAGAACCGGGTGCGATACCCATTATGGTTCAAATGGTCCGCAGGGACCGGGGCTCTGCCAACCGCGGAAGGTTGTAGTAAGGTCACTGTTTCCGAACATAGTGTCCTCCACCTTGTTTCATGCTGTCAATCTAACAATGATTGTACTTGTGACACTACTATTATTATAGGTGATAATTATAATAATTTGAAACTCGGATGTTGAGCCATAAATAAATGTCGAATGTCTCAGTACTCTGTCAGTTTTGTGCCTAGTTATTGCACTTTCTGACTGTATAGTTGTAGTAACATGTAATTTCGGCATCTCAAGCAACGGCTGTATCATGTTATGATTACTTGAGTATTATTATTATTTTTCACGGTGGCCGTTGGCCAATAAGAGAGATGTAATTAATAATGGTGATTATATGAGGCAATGAGGTAACATCAGTTGAAAATATGGTGATACTGATAGTTCAAAAGTTGATCGCTAGGTAGTGTACAGAATAGGATTTAATCAGCACATTCGACCTAGTTGGGGCTGCACTGGAGATTAGAGCAAGAGCATAATTATGCTAGATTCGATGAGAGCAGAGAGTTGTTAAAATTAATAAGGAAGGGTTCTGAATGGATCTTATGTCTCGGTCGGGGTAGAACAGATTCATTGAGCAAAGAAGTGGAGAGGAGGAATAGCGAGTGGTGCGAGCAACGGGCAGAGAAAAAGCTCTGAGGTGCCTCAGCTCTCTGGTACTGTGTATGGGGAAGTGCGCAGTGGTTGTTTGTAATAATTATGAGGTGGGGCGTAATTTTGGTGCATGGAATGAGCTAGTACGAGCTGTTTCACTTGTCTACGTGATTTCAGTGTTGGCAGACTGACATGGTGCAAGAGGGAGGAGTGGTGGCATGGCTTGAAGATTGGGAGACGGAGGCATAGTTTTATTGCATGGCACGGTAGACGCCCTAGAGCATCCGACTGATGAAACGACGTTACGGAAGTGCAGAGAGAGAGAGAGAGCAACGCTTCCATATTCCAGGATGGAGCGGATGTATACAGTGTATATAAGCAGCAGTGCTTTCGGGTTTAGGTTGCCCCCTTATTCTAGCCAGGAGGTGAGTTACTTTGGAGGTCTTGGTTTGAACGTACTCGGTGTGTGTGTGTGTGTGTGTGTGTAGCTTATCATCAGCACTGCAAAGCACCGCAGTCAAGAGCGATAGCACTATTACTAGCAGTAGCCGAGTAGGCTTCGTACAAGCAATCATGTCGCACTCTTGCCGTCTTGGAGACCAAGAGCGCCACGCCCTGTATCAAGAGTATAACCCCAAGCTTGTATCTAGCCCTTAACCAAAGATAATCGCCACTTTTTTTCGCAACTTTTCGCAAACTACTTCGAAACTTTTCCGCAACCGTGAGCAGAGAAACGGTATGGAGGAAACTATTGAAATGTCCCCTTCCGCTTCAACAAAAAGCGCTGGAACGTTGCCTCAAATCACCATGACAAGTGTACTTCTCGAAGAACAATTGTACATGTCACATGTGTGTGGCATCACTGAGCAATGCTGCTATAATTGATGAATGCTGTGTGCGAAGCGCCAAGAAAAAGGACAATGACTCATTCCAAGTCTGTTCATTTTCCATAGGCTATTAGCCAACATGTTCTGTGAACGTTATAATTATGCGTTCATATGTACTTCAAAGTATGCATGGCTTTACTCGCCACAGCACAATGCTGTCTATTTCCGCTGCTATTTTGCTTCTAAAATTGCTCAGTTTGGCATCATTGTATGCACAATAACTCGCTCATTTTGAGTTGCGATATCAGCAAATTTTGAGCTTTTCTGAAAATATGGATGCGATTTCAGCAACTATTACTTTCACTTGTTTTAGCATGGTTGCGAAAAGCATAAGTTGCGGCATCTTTGGGAAAAGGCTAGTTGTATCGCTATCCGCGTACTCAGCTGGACGCTCGTGTTCGGAGGGCGATATGCAGCCTCATGGCTCGTAGATGTATACATGTACCATAGTCACATTACAATAGTCATGTATGATGAGGTCAACATTAGTTACATGACACTCGTTCATAGCCTTTGGATTACCCGTAGACCTATGTAAGCGTATGTATGTCAGTGTACACTTTATATACATACAATTGCATGATTGTAGGTCTGCATGATCATGATCATGGAGAGTGGAAACGTATCTACAACGGATGGCTTCACGCTCGTTTAGTACGTATTCTAGGTCATTCCAGTACGGATGAACTACCACTGGCATTGTTCGGAGCGCAGTGTATTGATCCGACTGTTCTTAGCAATGAGTTGTATTTACTTCATACTACCCCCTGGTTCTTAGTGATAGTCATCAGTCATTGAAAAGGAACGGTGCAAAATGACCTCTTGTACACATTTTCCTTCAAACATGCATACTAGTAGATGCTAAGCCGAACAATACCTACATTGGCGGTCAAAATTCACACCCTGCAAAGGCTATACGAAATGTGACCACAGGGCTCAATCTTGCACCAAGCATGTATCCAGCCAAAAGAACTTGCGGATTGTCCTTCAGTGACAGTGGAGGTAGACATGACTGTATCTTCTGCTCGCCCTGTATGTGCGTATTGCTCAGTCACTCATGTTTCTCACCGAGATGTTGCCACTTAGTCGTCGCTGGTAGAAGAAGGTGGCTGCTCTTACCGTTGGATCTCGCGCTTCCTCCCTACTGACTGACTCTTGACTAACTCGCGACTGTCGTTTGGAGCAGACGAGATTGGAGAAGAATGCCAGACCGTCCACACTCGGCAAATCTGCAAGAAAGCATCACTCGTTACGGCCTGAATGCTATTTCATTTTTGGCAGCAGACAGATTGAACATGCTTCCACCTGGATGTCGTCAAGCTAAGCCCCTTTCTGCATTTGTCACAAGCACCAAGTCATTCCTAGGGTTCCCAGTAAAAAGGCAACGCCTGTTGGGAGTTCCCTAGTAAAATAAGAAATTCTACCACCAGTAGTACTACTACTCCCTGCTCATAACACAAACAAGTCATGGTACAAGAGAGGAGCTAGAGAGAAAAAGGAAAACAAGGAGGCGTCCAGGTAGAAAAGGAAACGTCACTTGAAAGATTAGAACATGGTAGATCTACAGACTATACACCAGATACTACTAGGGGGGGGGGGGGCGGGGGGGGGGGGCCGGGGGGGGGGTTCGAATTGTCTTCATAAACTCTTCGAACACATATTTTTAAAAGAGATTAGTAACTGTTGAAGTGTCCCAATAGAACGGTTTCTATCATTTTAGAGTTTTTCAGTGGAATTGTCATGGCGATAATGTATTAATAGATCTACTGTAGCTACCGCCGTACCGGTATTCCAAACTCTTCGCCGCACTTCGGGGTTAGCATTTTACCGTTCACTATTTTCGACGGTCAGCATGTAGAGCTAGACTAGAGCCGAGTAGAGGGCGAGTCTACTGCTTTGATGTGTTTTCGAGACACGGTTAGCAGTTCGGCTTCTGAGTCCTGACTCCTGACGCAACGATCGACTTGTGACGTAACCCTAGTTGGAATCTTACCGTCTCGTTCTCCCGCTAAAACTGAACAGAGCTTTCTATCGTCGAAACGGTACGAGTACCAAACCGACGGTATTTTGGGTGTTGGGTACGAGCACCGTTGGATCTAGCGCGTGAACCTGGTGAACTGTAAAATGCCATGTCTACACACACAAAAACGGTAGATCGATCTACGGGCCGACAGTCGAAAATAGCGTGAACCAGGGCGTGAACGGTAAAAAATACTAAAAATGCTAACCATGTCTAATCCACCTCTCCCATCGATACATCATCGGATGGAGGTTCGAGGAGTTTCGGTTTTCAGAAGAGGCCAACAAGCCACCTCTTCAGAAAAACGAAACTCCTCGAAAAGTCAAAGAGTGACAATTCGAACGCGCCCTAGGTTACACCCCTAGCCCTCATCCGTGGTCCCGTGGAGCTTGCCTTGGCAGCCTTGAGTTGAGTGTTTAATCATGGTTCTCTCCGATCACGGTTTGCATGATTAGATTGTAGATCTACAACAATCAACATGATGACTTCTTGCGAATCTTGGGTTTCAAAAATAAGCCACGGTTCACCTCGAGCTCTGGCACTGGCACCACATCATGCCTTCATGGCACATGTACAGGGAGTCGTGAAATCCTTGTATATACATGTAGTGTAGCCTGTACTGCAGGTGTCTTCCCGGCCGTCCCGTCGTAAATCTAGTGTGAGATCTACACCTGCAATGAATATGGAGCCACTGGGCATCAATAACCCAGTTACCTAAGTCCTTGATAACTAAAGCCAAGGCCAGAAGTGAGAGGCAAGGATGCAGTTGGCACTACGCTTCTTCAACATCAAAAGTATTGGTCGTCGTGTTTGCTTCAAAGATCAAACATGTACATGACTTTTGTACTGTGCTTGTGCATGTGAAAATAGACGAGGAAAAACTAGGAGCTCTCAGTCCTCGCACTCGGATGGGGCGAAAGCAATAAGTCTAGCGCCATGAGGACGAACAGTGCAAACTGCTGTGAACGTCGAACAAAAGGCCGGACGTTGTCGCTAACCGGCGCAATGTTCCAATCTCCAGGCAGTGCCACACCGAATCCGTTCCCTTGTGCAGCGACGTTGTTGTTCTTTTCCGCCTTTTTTGGTATTGTTCGACACAGTGAGAAAGTGAGGGTGACTCATACCCTGAAGATCTTGTCGGACTTGCTGCTGCTGCCGGAAAAGACCATGTTACCTGGTCATCTGAAAGCTAGAAGAGGTATACAGCGGAAAGGCGTGCAACTGCCCTTCTTCGCCCAGCCGACTGAGGACCAAACGAGCAAGTTCCTCCAGCAGGCCCTTCGCTCGAAAGCCAGTCGCTGGCAGCTGCGCAATGCCATTCGAGTACTGTGTCGGACGCGGCTGAAAGGTCGACAGGCCAAGTTCAAATTCATGGTCATCGGCAAGACAGGCGAGGGAAAGTCAACACTGATCAACAGCCTGGTCGGCCAGAACGTGAGGCGAACGAGCCAGGTGAAGTCATGTACCGATCGCCTGGGTCTCGTTCAGCCTATTCGAGTGAATGGCGTGGAGGTGAGCATTTATGACACACAGGGCGTGCAGGATGGGGTCGTGTCCGACGAAACAGTGTTCAAAAGCATTCGTGGCAAGTCCATACATTTGATGGTGGTGTGTGTCTCGCTGAACGGACGGGCCGAACTGAAGGACTGCCAGACAACAATTGCAACCATCACGCGAGAGCTGGGCATTCAGATTTGGGAGAGAGCAGTGGTGGCCTTGACCCAGGCCAATCGAGTAGCCACCGCTCTACAGGTGGAGCAGAAGTATGGCATACACCGGGAAAGCTACCGCGACATCGTTGCCGAGTTCCAGAGAGTAATCCGCAGCTACATCCGCACCTCTCCGGACATGGACAGCCGGTACGTGAGCGCGGAGACCTTGGGTCACGTACCGTTCCTGACCACCGGTCTCTACGTGGATGGTTATGAGTCGCTGAGAGAGCTGCCAGACACACCAGACTGGATCAGTCGTTTCTGGCTCGGTTGCTTGCACCGCTGCACGAGGGACACCAAGCACGCCTTCCTGCTGATGAAGGGACAGAACCTGCGCGTTCAGTACGTGCAGCCCGATCACAAGCCAATTGACCTTCCTGATGCAGTTGCTGATATGTACGTAAGCGAGCCGCGGACCGATCCCGGAAGCCTGGGAAATCCCCTACTGGCTGCAACGCATCCTGGCATCCGTACAGCTGCTGCTGATGTGTACGCAAGCGAGCTCCAGAAGGATCCCGGAAGCCTGGGAAATCCCCTACTGGCTGCAACACGCCCAAACATCCATACAGCTGCTGCTGATGTGTATGCAGGCGAGCTCCAGAAGGATCCCGGAAGCCTGGGAAATCCCCTACTGGCTGCAACACGCCCAAGCATCCATACAGAAGTTGCGGATGTGTACGCAAGCGAGCCCCAGAAGGATCCCGGAAGCCTGGGAAATCCCCTACTGGCTGCAACGCATCCAGGCATCCACACATCACTTGCTCCAGTCAAGGAGGTGGACTCCATTGCTATGCTGAAGCGAAAGCTAAGCTTTGACGACCAGTTTAGATCTCCTATGAACAGTGGTGGACCATCGGCAACAGCTGTAGCTGCGGGATATGCCCACAACAAGCACGATGACCCCTTCGTATTCTTGGATAGTAAGCTTGTTGGTGACGTGGCAAGCGTCATTCCACTCGAGGAAGCGGCGGTCCAGAATCGAGCAGAACTATCTAAAGTCCTCTTGGAGCTGAGCAAAGCATGTGAGACGGGCAGCCCTGCGCAGAAATTCTTGTTTGACCTTGCACGTACACTCTGCTGTTCCTCTGGGGCACCTGATAAAGAGGTAGAGGCCGCGGCCAAGGCCCTCGTACGCAGCATTCGCCGACTGAAGCTGAAATTTTAGTGGAAGCTGCTTTGCACCCACCAGGCGCCTTTCTTTACCAAATTCATCATGTATCCGTTGGTGGCATTGATGACACTGAGAAACACTGAACCATAAGGTGCTAGTGCCTTACTGGGTGCTTTATTGATTGTTTGCAGCCTATCAATCGAGTTGCATTTCATGTTGATTACTGCTATAAATCTGGTTTACTGTGTGTGACAACCTTCCGTTACCACAGGCCAGCTGAGTTGATTCTCTTGTTGATCAGTTGTTTTAATTCCCTGATCATTGGTGTTCCTATAGATTATTAGTGTGACTTTCCTACATGCTTCGGCGCATTACTATTGGCTGATTTTACGACCACAACAACGATTGTGTCCACAATTGATGCAATAGTGCCATGTACTGTTTGCACCCATCTCACCGGATTTGTTCTTATCGCCATTATTTATATTTAAAAATATGCTTCGCAAATACTTTGGAAGTTGGTTTCTCATCGGCCATGCTGCTAAATCCTGAAACAAGTGCATTAAATTTATCTCCCTTGAGTCCACCTAGAAAGTAATTTCCCCATGATTCAATGCACACGAGATATTCATCAAGCCTGTCTTCTGTTTAGTGCTACACTATGCTGGGGTACAGTGGAGTGTTAGATCATACGGTTATTTGCACGCAAACCCAAGATTTATAAATGTGCACGAGATACTTATCAAGTCTCTCCGGGTACAGGGGAGTGTTCCTCGTTGCATGTGAGATTTGCATGCAAACCCATGCATGCAGTACTGCAATAATTATTGTCGCTTTTCTACAAGGCACGTTGACGCAGGAGTCAATACCTGGTACGGCAGAATAAGGTGGTTGTATACACAGTGCTTTGTTTGACAAATGCAACAAAATCACTGAAAAAATGCTTCCTACAAGTAGGCAAAGTAGCAATTGAATTCATGCGAAGAGGCAGGAGAAACGACAGAATAAGCGTGCAGAATAGATTATTTTGCAGCAGGCAGAAAGCCATTCACAAAACCATACTGATGAAAGTGCAAAAAGAGTTGTCACTGTTACACGCACAACGTCAGTTTACGACATTGCGAAGTAACAGAGATGATGCCGAAGCTTTCTCTACATAGCATTATTTTTGAACAGAGAGTTGAAGTAAAGGCATCAAAATAGCCAATAAGAAATGCTCAGGCATAAAAGGTGACAGGTGAACAATCTACTTTGAAGTACACTGGATGCATGAATGATATTCACTCTAGCCAGCAGATTGGTGACGAAAAAGACATGAAAATGCAGAACATGGCATCTACACATGGACATAGGCACACACACGCATCTCTTTCTATTGGTGTCACAAAGGACGAATGCACATATTGTCAGCAGTTATTGTACCAAATTTCAGCATTTAAAAAGAACATATAGGTCATGAGAGAGAGGGAGAGAGGGAGAGAGAGAGAGACAAAGCAAGGGAGGGAGAGAGTATCTTTTGTAACTAGTATTCCAGAGACGAACTGAATAAAAAAGCGATAAAATTGTTGACAGATCTGAACTGCAGTGTTTGTGAAACACAAACTAAAGAACAAGTAATACTTGTGAAGGCCGCACCTACCACAGGGTCAGTACAACATCACTGCGGCGATCAGTACACCACTGCGGGTCAGTACAACATCACTGCGGCGATCAGTACAACATCACTGCGGCGATCTGTACAACATCACTGCGGCGATCAGTACAACATCACTGCAGCGATCAGTCGGAACTAGCAGTAGCTGGAATGTTTTCTCACACTTCACTCGATGCTGAGGAAAATGTAGCAGACTTTATACACATACTTGGAAAGCGTACCCGTGAAAACGTTCAAGACGTTCAAGAGCCTGAAGTGTGTTCTTCTCCTTAGTATTGTTGCATTCTTGTGTCCGAGGAAACTGTACATGTACTTGCATAATCATGATAAGAGAGGGAAAATGCATGGAAAGGACTGCGCTCGTAAAAAAAAATCGTGTCCGTTCCCGAAGGGAACTCACGACGGCCGCTAACACCCGGTAAACCCTAGCGCTCGTAAAAACATGGAATAATAGTAAAGACTGATGACAACAGAGTGATTGTACATCCTTGTCAGTACATTTGTGTAGAAAGTGTACATGGCGTGTGACCAGACGAACCAGCATGCCGCTGACATCGCTGATGTGACACATGGATACAGGGATTGACTGGAGTTGGAACCAACATGGCTGACACCAGGTGACACATGGATACAGGGATTGACTGGATCATGGAGTTGGAGCCAACATAGCTGACATCACGTGACCCTTGGGTACCGGGATTGACTGAGTTGGCACCAACATGCCGGCTGTCGGCTCATGTACTCACAATCAGGGTAGCTGTGCCACCACTCTATGCTGGATGCACAGGAATTTAGTGCAGACGGGGTGACAGCGACAGAGATGGCAGCAGCAAGTTTCACTCTTGGACCTGCACACAACAAACAGCACATTCAAGGAGCAAGCAAAGCACACAATGCACCCAGGGTCAGAGCAAACTCAGCTGGCCTCCAAGTGTGTGTGACGACTCCAATATGTACAAGGAAAGAGGCACCAGAGCTGCGATAGTGTGTGTTGCCGTACAAAGGCACAGAGCAGTTCATCAGTGAACGCCCGCGGCTATGCACAGCTACGTTAGCAGGACCGGTGCCACTCAGCCCCAGCTGATGCTGGAACCTTGCAGTCCAAGTTTTACACTCTCCAGAGCACTTTCCCAGGCTCCTAGAACAGCTTCAGCAATTCGGCCGTGGAAACGTCACATGTAATGATCATTTTACCACGACACCACCCCCATGACGAAGACTTTTCATGTCAGTCTAAATGCGACCCTTTCCCTGGGAGTAACCCAACCCCTGTAATTTGGACAGCAGCCTGTCTTGACCCGCGGCTTCAGGTCTGCGCATGCCGAGCAAAACTGTATAATGACAGCATCATGACAAGAACTTGAGAGGAAATCACAGAGTCGCATTACCTGCAGTCAAGTGTCAGACTGGCGGACAGATTTCCTTGCACTTGGTTCCCCCGATCCAGAGAGATGGTGTCCAGTGTGTGCACCGCTGTCCGCATGTGGTGTCCAGGCACGGCGCAGCAGAAGAGATCCCATCTCGCTATGCTCCAGGCTGTCAGCCGAGCGCAGTGCATCCAAGACATGGCGCAGGAACTTCAGCGAATGGCCGGGACTGGCGTGCTGTGTGGAGGTGGACGGTTTCTCAACGTACGACACGGTTTCCATGCTGCCGCTGATAGGAGCTGGTGCCAGGGAGAATATGTGTGCGATTGCGGACATATTCATCAGCATCTCGTCTCGGTCTCGACCAAAGAACAAACCACCAGCGAAACACAGGATCTCAGCAAAGATTTTTTGCAGCCGATTTGGAAGGCAAGGGAGCGGCGAAAGAGATTCTCCAGCCAATGTACACGACCAGTCTGACATGATGGTTTGCATCTTGTAGCCTGGACTGGCGTACAGTAACAGTGATGATGACGGGCTCCAGGTAGCAGGCGTGCGGCGGTGAAGTCTGCAGAGTTCATTGGCCTGAAATGGGCTGATCAGGATAACAGTAGATTGACTGGGCTGACGTATCAACAACAGCCACTCCACTGGTCGAATGTAGGCATCAGAGTAACTTAGCACTCTTGAGTCCTGAGCAACAGTCTTGCGAAATGATGACGTTGCAAACAAATTCTCACTACAATGCCAGAGTGGGCCAGCCAGAAACGGGCGGAACGTTGTTCTAGACAGCGAAGTGTCTTTGAAGCACCGCCAAATTCTCACCAGGCCAGTAGCCTTGATGTGAGATGGGAGCTGTTGCACTGACAAGCCCTGCTGTGCCATTGTTTTCAGATACTCTGGAAGTACTTCTCCGACAGGAGATTTGGAACTGGGCATCTCTCGCTCACGTTCCACCTCAATCTCCTGCTCCATTTCTCTCTCCTGTTCCTCGTCTAGCTCTTGAGCATAGCGATATACGTTTGGCACTAATGCATTGCATCGCTTGACAATCTCATCTGTGCCCATGACTGTTTTCGCTTGCTGGCTAATGATGGTCCCAACAGGCTGCGGGAAGCGAGCTTGACCATACATATCGCATAGCTGCATACCATCAGGCAGAGTGCACTGCTGGCCTGTCTTGCAAATGACACTGTCGTTCGATTGCAGCTGCTTGAGAGCATTATCAATCTGCAAATGTACCAGGCCTTGACTCGCCCATGAGTAGAATCCGTCTTCAGTGGCCGTGATACTGTTCATGATACACCAGAGTAGCACATGCTTGTGTTCGACACCCGTACCAGCCTCAAGTCTGCACAGCTGCCGAATCTGACGATCAATTTCCGGCGGGGCCCAGAAGGAGATGGAATGTGTGCTGTTCAGTCGCCTCATGCGCATGCATGCCTGCACAAACTCATCCCGTCGAAGTTTCTTTCCCAAAGTCACAGCTGCCACCGTTCCATCAACCATTTGAAGATCAGTGCCACGGCAGTGAGCATGATCCAGATAGACAAGACACTCTTCCAGATTGCTTGCAAAGGCACTTAATTCCAGCTTGCGTGGCTTATGGCTTCGGCGATCGTGGACACGAAGCTGGTTTGCGTGGTCAAAGTAGACTACGCCTTGCTTGTCAGGTCTTTTCTGCAGCCAACACTTAGCGACGTCAGCGTTGCTCAAGTCAAGAATTGTGGCGCCAGCATCAATGATGGTATTGATCAAGTTGGAGATGTTTTCACCACAAGTACTTCCGTGTAACACCAGCCTGTTGACCAATTTCTGACCATTGACTTCATCAGGTAAGACGTGATACTGGTTGTTCACAGGCTTCAAGATCAAGCTGCACACATACGCATTGGTATGCTTCAGCTGAGGGAGGTCTTGCTGTTCAGTTGAGCCGGGGAGCAGGTGACGAGTGTCGTTCGTACCACTGAAGCCTGTCACAATCATCTCTCGCCGCGTCGAAGTCATTGACCAACCATTGGCAACGAGTTTCCTTGGGAACTCCTTGGCCTCACTGGGAAAGATGGTGGAGTTCACGAAGAAATTGATTGCATCCGTATGGTAGCAAAGGAAAGGATACACTAGATCCTTCATCTGCAGTGGGTCCTTTCTATTGATACTGCTCAGGTGTCTGATGCTCTCATCAACTGATTCCCGACCGGCCTGCTCCACCCACGAGTTGTAGATTTCATTCTTGGCCTCTTTCCGCAGCAGCTTGGCAAGGACAATGTCAATCTGATCAGCTGTTAGGCCATGTTGGTAATAACTTAGCAATGTCAGCATGACGGCCACATCGACATGGCCAAACTCAGTGCGCTCGGCAGCCACGTCTTTGGCTCGGAACGGCACTGCCATCTTTATCACTCGTCCAACACGACTAGACGCGGAGCTCTGATGAGTCGTGGATAACAGTCCGTACTCAACGCGGTATCTCTTTTTCAGAGCCAGCCGCAGAACACCAGTGGCCAGCAGTCCGCGGAGCAAGAGCAGCGTATTCCGAATGTTCTCGGGGATGTATGAGAATGCCTCCACATCTGCGGCCGACAGATCTTCAACCTGGATGAAGCGCTTCAGAAACTCTCGCTGTGCCGGAGTTGTGTGCCTCATGCCCTCCATGAACTCTGACTTTGTCAGGTGGCTCTGGCCGGCAAATATGTAGTCAGACACCAACGCGCAAAGCATCCTGTACGCTTCCGTTTCCTCCACGGAGTCATGAATGCGCACAAATGGAAACGCGTGTGCTGTGTTTCCGGTGTAGGCAATCGTCTTCTCAAATGCACGTTTGACTTCTGGTATACACACTTTGACGGCATCCAGAACAAGCTCGGCAGTGTCCCAACGCAGCTCTTTGCCATCGGGAGATGACGGATCCCCCAGTGGGTAAATGAGCTGGAAGCGATAGTTAAGAACTTCGTCTGCCTCGTCAATGACATCGCGAGCGCAGTACTGGAGGCTAGCCATAACCTTGCCTAAACTCCTAGCCAGGCCGGTCTGTGCCTTGAAACACGCTTCTTGATGCTTGATTTGCAGAGATAGCAAGTGCTCACGCATAGTTACCATGACATCTCGACGCTGCTTGGCACCCTGAAGAAAGCCATGTAAACGGCGTACCTCGTTCTCGCCGATCGGAATGTCACGGCGGAACGGCATGGCATAGACGCGATGGTTGAGAAGTCCGCCAAGCTTGAACACGAGCTGATTGAAGTTGGTGTTGTGCAGAGAAGTCAGAACAATCACTCTCACCAGAGCATGGCTATCAGCTAGCTCAGCCGCAATGATGGGTAGTATGACACTCGTCTTTCCTTCTCCCATGTTCAGCTGCATGACTGCATGCTTGCGCTTCGCAGACGCCGATCCGACACACATCATCTGCTTTGCGACATCAACTTGTCTCTGCCGTATGCACAGGTCATTCTCTAGCTCAAACAATAGCCATTCGGGGTGATCACACGGAGTCCACGTTGCATGTGGGGCATTGGATATCTCTCTCTGCAGCCAATCCTCTGGTCCATCCTTGAACAGGCGAGACATCCGGGAATAGCGCCGAATATTCACCATGGCAACACATAACGCACCAATGAGCTCGCGCACGTCATCGCTGATCCGGATATCGACTAATCCAGACGCCGGGGCCGTCCGTGACAGCAGCTCCGGGAATAGAGCTAGCGGCACTGGTCGCAGCAGCAGGCCGCATGAGTGCAAAGCCTGGAGAGACGGACTTCTGCTAACACAACGGTTGATGGCGGTCTCGAGGCGTGATTGAATGTCCCAACATCTTTCCTGCTCTCTCCCGTGAAATCCAATGCAGGTGACTTCATCAAGGGGTGACTGGAACGTTGTAGATACATTATGATCTGGCTGTGCAGAACGCAGATCATCAAGGCTTTCGTGTAGGTCAGCTGAGAATTCATCTAGTATTTGACGATGACTTTCAGGCGCACGAGACTGCATGCCTTTCAGTTTTTCTTCAAGAAGCTCCAAGTCATCGAACTTTCTGCTCGTTAGACGCGTCAATCGTGGGATACTGGCACTCGAGGCGCTGTTGTCTGCATGCGGCTGTGTATATGTCTGCCTTTGCATTGTTTCCAGTTCTTCCCTTTTCTCCGGAGTTGCAATGACTAGCTGCCGGCAGTTGAATTCATTGCGCGGACACGCAGGCAATGGACTCGTCAGTAGGAAACCAGGTAGTGGTAGTTGTCCTGTTCTGACCTGTTGCTTAACAGCATCAACGATGCACTTAGCATACTGGTATAGAATCTGTGATGAGTTTGCGGTGGTCAGAGCAATATGAAAGCTTTCTTGATAGCCAGGGACGTGATCAAATAGAGGCTCTTTGGATGTGAACTGGAACACCATTGGAAGCCTTGCAGGAGATAACTCTGAGTACGTGCCTGGATACGGACCGTATTGCAGCAAGGTATGGCCTCTAATCAGGTCCTGGTTGATGGCATCTGTGAACACCTTCCTCTTGGTCTCGTATTTGCTCTGTAGTTCCTCAACCTGCTCCTTGTACTTCTTCTTCTTGGCTGATTCAGCAAACATTCCAGGTTCCTGGAGGCCATGGGCCTCGATATAAGGTTCCAATGAAATGATCATATCGGTAAATTTAGATGCCTGGGGTAGGACATGGCGATGTGGTGCCGGAAACACTCGCAAGCCAGGAAAACTTACAACAGCACTGTTTGTTAGCAGTATCAACAGCTCCAACAGTAAGCTACTCTGCTCGCGCTGGTAGCTCCACAGGGAGAACATTAGTGCTAGCCGCAAGCGGTCCTTCTCGTTGCATTCTTCGACATGTTGGTGGAGCGCCATGAAATCCCTCACCAACTCTATGCCAGCCCAATCTTTACAATCACGGAGAGAACCAGAAGCTAGTTTGGGACTAAACGTCTTCTCTTCTCTCCTCTGTTCGTCAGACAAACTGAACTTTAGTAGTTCACTCTCCACAGAATTCACTGTGATGGATGGGGACACTGCAGTAAAGGATGATGAAACTCCAGTATTCCAGGATGGTGGCAGAGAAGTACAGGGCGGTGGTACAGCATTACAGGCTGATGGTACAGTAGCGGCAAAGAAAGGAGACACTGCTGTTCCGTCACTCTGACGTCCTGGTACCAGCTTGTGCGGTGTTTCCATGGTCAACTCATGTTTGGGTGCACGAGATGATCCCCTGGTGGTCTCATCTTCCATATCGGGCTCGGCCAGAAGTCTCCAGGCTGTGCGCATTGACACTTGGCTGGGTTCATGGGCAAAAGGAATATCTTGAGGATCAACCGGGGCCGGAGCATTTGCAGCAAGTGGACGAGCAAGCAGAGGCAGGTCATCATGGCTCCAGTGGTAGAAGACAGTACTGAGAGAGCGCTCAGAATGCCTAGAGATTTTATCAGCATGAGTCTGGCCCTCCTGAAACTGTGACCCTTTGTAGAGAAAGACCATAGACTGGCTGTTGGCGATGATCCTATCGACAAGGAGAATGAATGCATCACTTGCACAGTATGATGGAACATAGCTAGGCCAGTCAACTAGTTGCATTGTTCCGCTTCGGTTGGACGTGCGCCTCGGTGACAGGCAAGCAACTTTATACAGCCAGTACATTGATGTATGGTCGAGAGGTGAGGCAGACCAGCATCTGGCCGACTGCAGGACAGTCATTGCCATCTCCATGCCAGTCATTCCTGTGAACGGATCCGGATGCACTGACGATGTCGTGCCATGCAACAAGGCAAGATAAATCCACGCACTGCGACTGTCTGGTGCTTGCAGCTGACGGAGGTTTGGCTGTATATTGACGCGGAACACAGGTGGTTCACGCAGGTCCGTGAGATTGATTTTGACACACGAACCGCCTTGAGCAAATTCAGGTGTGCCATGCGGTACCAGCAAACATCGTTGTTCGCACACTTCGCCTTTGTGATGTACCAGAACCAGTCCAGATGATAAGGGGATCAGAGTTCCAAGACTTTGATCACTGTCCACACACCAGCCTGTGTAGTCTCCACTCCTTAGCAGCCCGGAGTCTTTCTCCTCCGGAGAAACGAAGAACGATAGACCAAGTCGAGACAGACGAATGTGTACAGTTCCTCCTGTGTCCCTCCAAAGCTCTACATACTGTGCCAGTTCAATCCTTGCCATTATTTCCAGTATGGACGCTCCCAACGGGGATTTGGAGCTGAGCATAGTTGACCCGGGTGGGATACCAGTGATTGCAGCATTCAGCACCATCATCTGACGTTTTCCAAAGTCCAGAACATACTCGCAGCGATCGAGTCGAGCAAAATCTTTGTCCCTGAAGTACTCCGGCCGCAGGAATACTTCATGGCTTTCAAGATCCAGCCAAAAGCTGTGTTCTTTCACTAGCAGGGCTGGCAAGTCAAAGTTGCTTCGATCCGAAAACCAGGATGGATCCAATAGCAGTAGCTTACGACCATCACCTCGGCACTCGTAAATGCACAGTTGACCATTTCCAGAGCGGTCGTGGCTGGCAAAAACAAACGGACCAACCCTCTCCTCTGTGCTTTCCATAGCTGGCGATGATTCCTCGTTGGCTACATCCTCACTGGACACGGCTCCTGTCATTGCGGATGTTGTTTGAGCAACTTGGCCTTGTGGACTTGTACATGGACTGACGACAAAGACAGTTGATCTGAAATGACGGGCGAACAGTTTGGTATTGGTTATGTCTGACGACAAGCGCCCCGGCGCAAGGCCATTGATCCAGCACTTGCCTTGCCGTAGGTCCAACTGGATATACTCGGTGTGGCCATTCACAGACTGCCACTTGCAGTTGATCCAAAGTTGATTGTCCTGGTGAATATCGTACCCCGAAACAACATTGCCCGGAGCGTAGAACTCAGTGACAAATGTATCATACTCGACATTGATACCATTATGTATACCGCCGTTGAATAGCTGAACTGTCGTTGAATGGTTACTGCGTGCAGTACGCAGGACCTGTGCAATCAATATCTCCAGAAACCCGAGGGCTTGGTGTGCCACTGTATTGCGGTGTAGGTCTGTTACAAACTTCAACCAGTGGAACAGCGGTGTGTTATCGTGCTGTTCAAGATGCACAGAATGGCGATAGCTCAGTGCACCAAAGGCTGCAATGTGCACAGACATAGATTGCAGCTTTCCAGCAGATTCGTCTTTGATCTCCTCTAGCAGTGAGCGGATCTTGTCAAGCCATTCCACGGCGACTTTGCGACAGTCGGCTAGCACTTCATGCAGCCGTTCAATAGTGTCTTCAGCAGGCGCTGCTGGTCCAAGCTGGGAGTGTAGACTGAGCAGGCGGTTAGCTAGTACGATCACACTGCACAGTGACCAGTAGTTTGCCCAGTTGCCACGCACGCCGTTCAGCACGCTTTGCAGCTCACAGCTGAATTCGCGAACAAAGGCAGCATCTCCACACGGGTGATGCGTGTCACGCAGCGGCCGATTATCTTCGTTCGCCTCGGCTTGCCATATGCTCTGCGCGATAAGCTGCACGACTTCACTGCGATGTAGAAGCAGAGTTTTCTGGTGAATTCCACGCAGAATGTTGAACCACTGTAGTTGCTTGCCAGCTCGTATGCTTCCAAACGTCACAAACTCTCGAACACTGAAGAAGTCCGGGCAGATATTCTGCTGCGCGATGACGTTGCTTTGCTGGTGACCTGTAGATTTAATGAAACTCTGTAAACTGCCATTGCCGTGGCTAATAGTGCATAATTGTTGCACCTTGTCGTTTTGAGCCCGTGGAGCTGGGAGTGCACATCTGTGCGTATCATCAGCTAGAGTGCAATTGAGAATGCACGCCTCAACAAAGTCATCAGACGACCATCTGTTGCGTAGCTTGAGGGACCGGTATTGAGAGTGCGTGAAGGACTTGTTTGTACTGGCCAAGATGATTGGGCCGACTGGCCATCTGTCATCTACACGCTTCAACCATCTCACTTTAGTTCGGCTTTCTGTTCCATTGAAGGCCACCGAGAGGAGGAATGCTTTGTTGAATTTCAGCAGGCAGTCGCGCCACTTTTTCACTGCACCGGGTATGCAAACTTCAAATGCAATCGCTTTTTGACAGGCCTCGGTTGGTGGCATTTCCCGCTCAAAGATGTCATGCTCCCGCTTATCCAGCTCGCGATCGAGTTCACACTTATGGCAGGTTGCTAAGTGAACATGTGACACCACCGTGTAAGTGTGATCAAGCTTACGAAAGGATTCTTCACTTTTTATCATGTTCTTCAACTCTCTTTCAACACTGGCAACATGTTGCATTTCCCTTGCCTTGTCCTCTTGAAGCAGTCGATCACGTGTTCTCATCATATCGCCATGGCCTTCACAGAATTTGACTGACAGGGACTCATTCATCACCCTAGCTTGCAACGGCCCATCCATTTTCCCAGCGTTGTTGCGACTCTTGAAGTACGTCTCGACGCCATGTAGAACTTCTAACTCCAGTGGAGTAGTTGCCAGTATGTGCTGCAGCGGCGATGGGTCAACATCAGTGCTGTGCTTCAGAAGCAGAGGGAATTCTTCAGTCGCAGAGATGTCGCACATTGCCATCAGTACGAACGCCACAAGGAGACGACGGCTTTGATCCAGGGCATTGCCTTGCACGTATAAGTGTAACGTAGCACTCTCATAGGCTTCCATCAGCTCAAGAGCGGAGTGACATGCCATGGGCTGAGATGTCCTTGCTTTCCAGCGCAATAGCATATTCTCTTCCCACGTATGAAGTCCAATCAGACGACTTTCACGTGAACCGTTGGTCAGTGGAAATCCGCCATCAGCATGTTTCTCCATTGGGCCTTGTTGTATGCTGGCTGGTTCACCTGAGGTTGCTCCAAGCATGCCGGAGATACGGTCTCCCGATACATCAAGTGGCAGAGTGGTTGAATCGGCATCATCATGCTGAGCAGGGAGACCTGGAAGTTGGGATGTATCCTGAACAGCATCACTGAATGCGTGCCATCGGGTGAGCTGGCGCTCGCTTGCTTGCTCCACGACTAAAGTAGCACTGTGCATGACCTTCCGGCATCTTGTGGCCAATATTTTTGGTACACTGCTGCTGCTTTCCAGAAGTAGAGAGAGCTTGTGAATACGTTTGCTGAGTTTTGCAAGCATCTGCTGTAGGACATCGGCATCATCGTGGTATGCACCAGAGCCACATTTCACAAACTCGGCCATGAATCGGAGCATAGCCATTTTGTAGATAATGCTTCCGAGTCGATGTCCTTTCTCATTGACCAGTGTCACGTGCAAGATGAACTTCAGAGCAAACCAGGCTGGATGACGTCGCCAAGGAATACTTGAAGAGTCACGTGGCCCTGCGCCTGTAACAACATCCCGCACCTTCTTCTGCACACGTGACGTTGTTGATGAGGTTCCAGGTCTTTGAAGTACGGCAAAAGCAGAGAAGAGCCACTCGAAGACATACTTGGGGCTGACTGCCTCACAATTGTCAGACTCACTTCCAGTAGCGGCTGCATCAGGGAATACATACTGTTGAAGACAGCAGATCTGGTCAGCCATCGTGTGTGAGAAAGCCTGCTCGGTCGGGATAACAACGCAGAGCCGCGGCTGCTCAGTCAGCAGTGCACCTTTGGCATTCACAACTGTCTGGGCTTCAGTTTGTATGTCATAAGCGCTGACATTGACCAGGTTCCCCTCTAGCAAGGTGAATGTCAGTGCAGCATTTTGGGCAGGCAAGTAGATTGGGAAGGTATCAGCTGGTACCATTTGCTTCCAGGTAACATAGAGATTGACTGGATTCGGAGAATACGCGTCGTTCCACGCATTGAGCATGCGATGTATCCGTGCCGGCAGTATATCCTTGGTGATGCTGGCAAATTTCCGCAGTACCGAACGGTGGCCATAGTGTAGGAACAACGGGTTTGTATCTTCTTCTCGCTGGTCTGGCAGGCATCGTGGTAGAAACACAGTGTGGACTGCCTCGGCAGTGGCCATCCATTCAACGGCATTGTCTTCTTCATCATCTTCCATAGGAGTATTAGCGGGTACATTGGTGGCCAAATGGGCATGGCTGCCTCCGGGCTCTTCGTCTACACCATGTTGTTGTACATTTGACATTGTTGTTCAGATGTACCACACCGGTCTCAATCAATGTATTCAACCTGCTCAAGCTACTTATATTTCCCACTTGTAGCTGCTACTGCTGAGGGATGAATGCAGCAATCCTGGAGGCAGAAAATAGAACAAAAAAAACATGCCTTAGTTAGAGGGATCTTTGTGAAAGTTTCATGTTGTCCCCAAAACACACATCATACACACGGTTGATGGAGCACCCCTCCCTCCATCCCCAAACGTGGGCCCAAGCGTGCTTGGGGCAGGACATTCCACCAGCACTATGCCTATCAGCCTAAGGATTGTGTAGGATGTCATCCATTCTATGGATTTTGGCCGAACATCAACTAATGTCCTAAGTCAACAACAGTGATACCATGTAGTACACCGTCACCTGGACTCTGAAAAGGCATACATCCCCTACCAAGGGCATATATTCGAGGCGCATAGTCCTATGCTACGCAAATTTGGCTAGCTTATTGTTTACGGCCAATGTCGTGTATTCTTGTCCTGTGTGGTCCGATGTCATACACGGTCTAGTGTTCTAATGGGTATGGTGTGATGTGACATAATAATTATTATATGCAGAGTTCTAGCCAAAAGGGGGGGGGGAGTCAGCCCCCCCCCCCCCCTACTCTGATGCCCCCTCTACTCTGATAGGCACCACCCTCCTCATTTTTCCCTTTTTGTACTTTTTCTTCAGTTCACACAGCGAAAATGCGGCCACAAATCGATTGTTCCGGGCGCTCTGTGCACCTGTGTGTTGCATTTTTTTGTGCATTTTTGTGCAAGGATATAGCTGTTTGGTACGCACAGTGGTATATCAGAAAGTGAGGATAAATTCCATTGGCCCATCCTGAGTAAGGTTATACAGCAGCGGTACCGGGACATAGCTCATTTGCAACATCAGCGTCGGGACCTTGTTGGTACACTCTCCACAGAGCTAGTAGAACCCAAACGAGTGTGGCTATTGGGTCATGGACGCAACATGTACTCCCATGTGAAGGCGGATGACAGCGAACGCCTGCAACGAAAGTTCAGGAACTTACAAGGCAAGCGGCTTGGCCCAGGGGCAGCCTAGTTCTTCCGCCATCGACTGATGGATCTGCCCCACTTGGCAGCGTCCCGCCTGGCAATGTCCCGCCCAGTGTATTCGTAGAACCAGATGTACAGGAGCATGTCTCGGTTGAAGTTGCCTCATTATTGTAAAAGGGTCCGAAGTTCGTCCCCACGAAAACCGCGTCAACAAGGAGACGCTGCGTACGGTGGAAGTTTCCTTTGAGAGAATGGCCTTTGGAATGCGCTGGGCATATGCGGTTAAGAACAGAAACATCTCCAATACCTCCCACAAGGACAAGGTTGCGAAAGAACCACGGACGACAACGCCATCGCAATGCACACCGTCATCAGCAGGATCAGCATCGGCATCCCCGATTCAATCCGCTAATCCGACCATGCCTGGCCGGCATGACTCGGTAGGATTGGCAGCAGTAACATCAGCAGCACCTTCCAGTCAGCCTGCCACACGCACGTGTAACGCGAATGATGCCCGGTCATCTGTGCTGGGTGGCTCCAGTGACATCGATTCGCACCCCTCCCGGGCATCTGCAGCGCCTGACTCTGGTCTGGCCGTTGCGGGTGTCTATCGTGGTGGTGAGGAGTTGGATTCCGATTCAGCCGCCGCCATGTGTACTTTACAGTACAGTACAGTACATTGCGTACCTCGTGTGAACCAGTGGCATTGAGCTCTGGCCCGATCGCTCCTGGCTCCTCATGCGCCTCAGTCGAACCGTTGTTGTCGGATCCTGGTCCGACAATCTCCAGTACTTCGAACACGACTCGAACTTCGAACACGGGACATGTTCCTCTCGCCTCGGCTGCGCCTCTTCCAGCAGCGGTAATAGCCGTGTCTAGTGACCGACTTACAATCACTGATAATAATAATTATTTTCCTGACCCACTCGTGCCTGACCAAAACCTGTATAATGACGTCTGCCTGAAGAAACTAGCTGCGACAGATAGACAGGCCCCACCCTTACGGAGGGAGGATGAGAAAGGCCTTCGCCGTTTGAAAGAGGTCCTCTATGTATCGGCGTGAGAGCAAACACGCCCGCGCCACAAGTGACTCTGCAACACAGAAGAAACTTTCGAAATCGCAATTTGAATCTTTAAAGGCATTGAAGAACAACCCCGAAGTAGTTGTGAAGCCTTCTGATACAGGAAAGGGGTTTGTTGTTATATCCGCAGAAAATTATCGGGCAAAGGTTTATAACATGCTTAATCGCCCGGCTGATTACGAACCTTCAAGAGTCAAGATTGATGCATTGGACAGTGAGTGTCGTGAGACACTAAAGGGCTGTATAATGGACAAACTACCTGAGAAACTAGAGAAAGCTATGCACCCACACTACTCGCGCACGCCACAATTCTATGGGCTTCCTAAAGATCATAAACCAGGAATGCCACCGCGCCCGGTAGTGTCAACACGCGACAGCCCAACGAGCAACATGCCCCTCCTGGCAGAGCGCATACTAAATCAGTTGCTGCGTTTTGTGCCTGCACATTTGAGAGATACCAAACAATGCGTCGACCATCTCCCCACACATCATAATATACCGGAACATTGTATTGTTGCGTCTGATGTGTATCTATATTCATTACGTCATAGTTGTACTGCATGCACGCACACACACGGATTAGTTGAGTGTGCTTCTTTTTCCTGTTGTTCTTTCTCATGACATGTTTTGTTTCCGTTCCCAAGTCTTCACGAATAAATAGTAACGTATCATGGCGCAGTGAACTTGTTCTTTCCTGTGTCCGTGCCTTGTGTCCGCACCTTGTAGTGTTTGCACGGGCCCAGTTGTTTTTTCCGTGTGAAGTAGTAGTTTCCGCGATCGAAACTCTGTCTCAGTTGAATTATTTTAGTAGTGTATTTGTTCGTACTCGTGGACGAGAGTGACTAATCGTAATGGAACAATCACAGGACGATACCGGATTTGACCTGTCCTCCGCGACCGAGCGACAGCAGGAATCTCAAATGGGTGTCCTGATGAAATTTATGGAGCAGCAGATGCGTGCAGCTGAGGCTCGTGATAAGGCGATGCAAGATCTGTTCAAGAATGTTCAGAGCAGGTCGCTATCACCATCGCAGCCTCAGTTCACTCCGCAGCCCTCAGCACCAGCTCAGTCCACCTCGCAGACCTCAGCACCACGGCCAGTGAACAGTGTTTCCTGCCCACACTTATTGTCGTCTGCGACGCTGGCTGATTTTCACTCCTTCGTTGAAAGCTGGAGAGATTTTAGTGTTTGCCAGCATTTGGCCAGCCAGGCTCGTGAGGCCAGAGTGGCAACACTCCGTCAGTGTTTCGATGAGGAGCTGCGACGTTTTATCCGAGAGGATATTATCTGCATACCAGCTTCAGCTGACGTCGACCTGATGCTGGAGCGCATTCAGGCGTATATCAGACGGCAACGTAATCCACTGTTGGACCGCATAGAGTTTTACCAGCGTGTCCAGCAAGCTGGAGAATCATTTGATGCGTTTTACACAGCCCTGTGTGAACTACAAAGTGCATGCGACTTCTTGTCACACAGCCTATGTGGAACGTGTGATGCTCGCTGCTGTGCGCAGTGCAAAGGCCTCGGCCGTACCCTCAAGGAGGAATCTCTGCGCGACCGCGTCGTCATTGGTGTGCGGAACGATGAGACGCGACACAAGTTGCTCGCAACTCATGGTCTCACGCTCGACCAGGCTGTCACCCTCTGTCGGACGGAGGAAGCAGCATACCACACCAAGGCGCACATGCCCAGTCCTGGCCTCCAGGCAAGTGCTGCCAAGCAGTCGGCGTACAAGCAGCAGAAACGTCACAAGCCAGCTGACTCTAAGCCAAGTGAGACATCAAGTGTGGCCAAGTCCACTTGTCCAAATTGTGGTCGTTCTGACCACACGAAATCTGTATGTCCTGCCAAGGGCAAGAAGTGCAACTCCTGTCACGGCATTGGGCATTTTCAGCGAATGTGCAAGGGCCAGAAACAGCCGAAGACTAGCTCTGCTGCCAAGCTTGGACAGCTGAAGCTACAGCGTGCGTCTCGCGTGGACCGTCGCACAGTACCTGTTTCGACCATGCTGCAAACAGAGGATCAGCCATCCCAACTGTCCTGGACACCAGACACAGGCAGTGACGTTGATGCCATTGGCGAGGAGCACCTCACGCAGATCGGTGGGTTCGTCGAGAACTTAGATGACGACCACGACTGTGTGCAGGCTGTGACCGGTGAGCCGCTACGCAACCTGGGCAAAATACGTGCGACTCTACGAGTCGGTGAGACGCAGCATGAAACCGTCATCCATGTGTACAAGGGTCTACACGATGCCCTGCTGTCTCATACCTCATTGCGTGCGCTGAAGTTTCTCCCACCTGATTGGCCAGTCCAATTCACCGCTGAACACGAGGGTGCATATTCACCCAAGATCTGTGCCGCTGTTTCGTCATGCGCTCATCCTAGTGATGCTGAGTTAGCGCGGACACGTGAGCAGCTCCTGCAAGAGTTCGCTGACGTTTTCTCGGATTCCGGTCTGAAGCCAATGGAAGGTCCGCCAATGGAAATTGAGCTACAGCATGATTCTAAGCCTTCCTGTGTGCACACTGCTCGACCAATACCGTATGCATTCCGTGACCAGATCAAGACTCAGCTCGACGGCATGGTCAGCGACGGGATTATTGAACCAGTGACGGAGCCCAGTGAATGGTGCCATCCGATTGTCATAGTAGACAAGAAGGGCAGCACTGAGAAGCGCCTCACAGTTGACTTCAAGCGGCTGAACGACCAAGTCCGTCGTCCCGCGCATCCCGTACATACGGCACGTGACGTTGTCTCTGGAGTTGGCTCTGCTAAGTTCTTTACGAAGCTCGATGCAAGGCACGGCTACTGGCAGATTCCTCTCAGTGACACTGCTCAGGAATTCACCACGTTTATCACCCCGTACGGCAGATATCGTTATCTACGGAACCCGCAGGGTCTAATATCTGCTGGGGATGAGTTCAACCGGCGCACTGATGCTGCGTTCTCTGCCATCCCGCGTCTCGGCAAGGTAGTCGATGATTGCCTAGCG